CGATGATGAACATTTACACGGCATGCGTGCTTTCTTTCATCGATACCGATCACCTTCACTGTCATCGAGAGGCAGCAACACACGGCGGAAAGGCAGGAGCAGGGGTGGGATTCAAAAATGGTCTGACACGTAGCGCGGACCCGGCGCGTACAGTAGTGCGTTATGCATGGCTGCCGCTGGCTGCGCTGGCTGGCAAGGAGCGCAGTGAGCGTGAGACAGGAGGGTGGCATGTTGTTACTATGAATACCATTCACACAGTGTACTTAGCTAATTCGTACACCGTTCGGTCGGCGTTCGATACTCCAGCCCGAAACCTTCAAACACTCTCCGCTCCGCCTCCTCGAGCGTCTTCGCCCGTCCCGCCGCTCCCTCCTTCCCGCCATATCCATAATAGCCTTCAAGATCGATGACTTCGCCACTCCCACGATCTCGAACACCCGAGCTGTCGAACTTCCAGCCTTTGACGTTCTTCGCATAACGTCGCAGATCACGTTCAAATGTTGTCGCGCCACTCCAGCCAACCACTGCGCAACCAGCAGTGCGCCATGGCGCGATGATTATATCCACCCTGCGATGAATGTTCGGGTTCTTCGCCTTGGGATTCGAAGCCAGATCAGCATCTTTGGTAGGCCAGGTTGGGTCTTGCCACACAACTAAGGCCTTGTCCAGTGTATCGAAACCGTGCCCACCACCATCGGAGCGGAAAGGGAGCGTTTGTTGGCCACGCTTCGAGTTGTTCAGCGAAAGTGTCAGTGTATGCGTGATCCAGCCTTCCTCCTCCAAACTAGCCACAATGTCCTCGACGATGTTGTGCGTCGCGGCTTCGTCCGGATGCGATATGACAATGTCAACGTCCCCACAAGCTTCTTTCCCTCGCCTGTAACCGCCGACAATCATGGACTGAATCCCGCTGTCTCGCACTTTGACTGCATGCCGGTGGATGATCTTGCAAATGCTTTCAACCTCGGCACGCGGGATTAGGTCCAGGAACTCATCGTAGTATTTCACTCCAATCTGCTGCACGCGCTGCAGTGTTGACCAGCCATACTCGACGATATCGTCAATCTCACGCCACTTTGATTCTGTCAGCATAGACGCATTCGCTAGGGAAAGGATCGCAGTTCATGAAACGTTGATCTCACTTACCCCTTTGTCAAAATAGAAGTCGCGAGCAGTCGTGACACCCACGCCCCAAATATTCCAGAAAAGCTTTAGTATCTTCAAATCTTCGTCCGCCCGGGCATCCTCGACAGCCTTGATCTTCCCCGTATTCTTCCATTCGATCCACAAGTTGGCAATCTTCGCATCACATCCAGGCAAGCGCAAGACCTCTTTCGGGTTACTGAGCTTATGTGTATATGCGCGCAATGCTGCGATAGAGGTAGCATAAGCTCGCACTCCAATCTCGTCATTGGTCAACAGCCTCGCAAGTTTGATTCCTTCCAGTAGATTGATGAAATCATCGTTGCAATTGTCCTTCGGGGTTAGTCGTTGGCATGCGTACTTAACGTGTGCTTTGACCCACTCCGGGGCCTCAGGAAGATCGCTCGAATATCCCTCATGTTCTGTGGTTGTCTCGTGCAGTAAATGTGCATATTCGGGTTGTGTTCCGTGACCCGCCTCCCAGCTTGCTGGGTTCGCAGACGGCGTCTTGGTGTTTGGATAGTGGTACTTTCGACGCCCGAAACGATCTCTGGCTACTTGCGATTTGGGCGCATCCTCGCGGGCTCGCTGCAAGAGATCGCTGCCAGAAAATGCAGTCTTTGCAGATGCATTCTGCATCGAGACGGAGAGCTTCCCTGCTCCGGCGTCGGGTAGCTTTCGGTAAGGTGCATATGTCTGAGATGCTTTATCGTCCGGGGCATGAACTACGCGACCAACGTACGTGATGTAGTTCTCTATTGGAAGTAGGCGCCCAGCAGATCTAGATTCGTTGAACCAGTCAGTACGCACAACTTTGACAATCCGATCCGGAGACAATTCTGGCTTGTCCGAACCACTTGTCACGACACGAGCACGCGCAGTGTTCTTGGCCGTATTTGGCCTGCTCTCATCGCCAGTCTCGCCCTCAGATTCGGTGCTGGAGTCTTCAATGAGTATAGGGTCAGGCTTGCCTTGTTGCACAGCCTCAAGCTCATCACGCTTGCGCTTCCTTGGAGTGGACTGTGACTCATATGCACTATCGTGTGATGGCAGCGCTGGCACCGTCGGCTTGACTTGCACTTCTTCGGTATGAAGACCTTTCGATCGTAGATCAAGCTTGATGCGAGCTGTTTTGACCGCTCTGCTCAGCACAATCTCGGCTTCGTCGATTGAGTACGTAAGGACAGCGTGAGCTCGATCGAGCTCCTCCTCAAATTCGTGCAAGTCTTCAGTGTCAAAGTGTGTTGCGCCCAGATAAATTGGCGGGAATGCACTGAGGTCCAGAGACGGCCTTTCTCTCGTGGATTGGTCTCGGTTGTTCGATGGAGGTGAGGAACCAAGAGTCGAATCGTGATCCGCCATGATGAGTATCTCAAGTCAATAAATCAACGCGTATCATACAGTCACGCGGGCTTCCAATTGTACATTTCGTAGGCTGAGCTTTCTATGCCTCAGGTGAGGTCCATATAGGGTGCTCGATACGCATCAAGTGAGCGCTTGCCAAATTCCATATCCGCGATCACATGTGTCCAGAAGTGTAGTCGCCGTTATCCAATCTGCGTCCAAATGCGGTGGGGATGTTGTCATGAGAAGTGAGCAGGTGCATGTACATAGGTCTTTGTTATGGTGACGCGATCACGACGAAGTCCAATGCCTCTGCCGCCAAGAAATGCTTGCTCCTCCGTACTCCACCCGCTTCCTACACCTGCGTCTACACGGCATCCGCATCAAGAACATTATCACCTCCTCGGACCTAGGCATAATATGTCTCCAGACAGGCTAAATATGACAACCTTCGTTCCGCGCACCGTCTTCCCGACGCTCGAGTCGCTCCCACGCTCGTACTACCTCGGACATCATGCCGCCGGACTCGCGAAGATGAAGACAATGCTCTCACAGATCGACCACATCATCGAGTGCCGCGACTATCGCATCCCCCTCACGTCGCGCAATCCGATGTTCGAGGACAGTTTGGCGGGGCGGGAGCGCATGATCGTGTACACGAAGAAAGATCTAGGGAGTACAGGCACACCCGAAGACAAGAAAGTAGGCAGAAAGTGATATCTTGCGCATGCGATCAGTGGGAGTAGATAGCTGATTACGGTATGTAGAGACATGATTTGATTCGTGAATGGCATCGTCCTTCGAAAATCATCTTCTCCAATCACAAAGATCGTAAAGATGTGCGTGTTATTCTGGATGCGATCAAAGATGCGAATCGCAATCGCGGGAGCTTGACGGGCTCGTACTTGATGGTCGTGGGTATGCCGAATGTGGGAAAGTCCTCGCTACTCAATGCACTGCGCCGAGAGGGCGTGAACAAGGGCAAAGTTGCGCATACTGGCGCCCAGCCTGGAGTCACGAGAAAGATAGGGACAGGCGTCAAGATCGTGGAGGCGGACGAAACAGGTGTAGGCGGCGTGTACATGCTCGATACACCTGGTGTTTTCATGCCATACGTGCCCGACTCCGATGCTATGCTGAAGTTGGCGCTTTGTGGAAGCGTGAAAGATACAGTAGTCCCTCCGTTCAACCTGGCCGACTATCTTCTTTATCACGTTAATCTGCATGACCCAACAGTGTACAAAGAGTACTCAGAGCCTACCAACGATGCCATGCAGCTGCTCGATGCAATGGCAAGGAAGACTGGCAGGTTGATGAAGGGAGGAGAGCCGGATCTGGAGAGCACGGCCCTCTGGATGATTCAGCGATGGAGGAATGGTCACCTGGGAACGTTCACGCTCGATGAAGTTTCCGAAAGTGCACTGGAGCAGTACAAGATGAAGATGCCGTCGAGCAGTCTCAGCCAAGCACGAAAAGCGGGCAAGCGAGCTGCAAGTGAAAGGGCGAAAGCAAGACGAGCCGGCAATGCAGACTGAAGCTTGCGAGGATACCATTCACCATACAGGAATGACGGGCTAAAGCATGGGAATTGAGCCAGTGTGCCGCAGCTGCTCCGTCAGCTGAGCCGACCGGATTCCAGCAAGTCTTATTACCTTGAAGTTGGGAACGCCTGTCAGAGGAAAGATATCAGCAATCACATCCGCCCTCCTCTGCTCTGCTCTGCTCGACTCACATTCATCGCGGCTGTCTCGGCAGGTCTGATGATATCGCCTTCAAGCCAGCGTGCTTGAAATGTTCAGATTGCTAGGCCCGGATTTGGGAGGCCAGCCAAGCTACTAGAGTCAGTAGCACAGGCCATTCATGATCTGGTATAGGGCTAGCAGAAAAGGTTCCAGTGCCGAACTGAGAATTGAAGAAGCCCAGATCCAGGACACAGTCCATCTGCAAACGATGACAAGCGCATAAGAATGATCGTTACTCATCTCTACATCTATACATAATCCTTGCTAAGACCAAACAACAACAGAAGCACCCCTCACTGCAGTATTCTCCTCTAAGAAGCCTTCTCAACCGTAACAAACAAATCCACAACCTGCGGAACATCACAAATCAAATCATTCTGTCCCGCTCCTCCAGCCCTACAAATCGGATCGTCAAAATCCACATGTCCAGCATAAACCTGTTCCTGCGTGATCGTCTGCCACAACCAAAGTTCATTCTGCTTCTGATCGTCGTGCTTGGGAGTATAACTGAAACTGAGACTACTATCTTTGCCGCAGAAGTAGACTTGTCCTGGAACGAAATTCGTCGTCGCGGCGTCGGTTGCAGGGTCATAAGGGATGCATTGGAAATCTAGTGTTCCGCCATTGGTGGCGAGGATGCGGAAGGAGACGTTGCTGATGTCTTTGCCGTTGAGTTTGCGGACGCTGAAGTCTTTGATTTGGAAGACTGAGCCGTCGGTGTCGTTGGGTGGTGCGGATGACGGTGGGTAGTTGTTGCGGCAGGCACCTGGGGCTGCGAGGGCGCTGATGAAGAGGGTGGTGGTGGCAGCTACCGTAGCGAAGTATTTCATTCTGAAGGAGTTTGTTGCTGTATGATTGGGAAGCTGAAAGTATTCAAGACTCTGTTGCTATGCTCTGTATGTAGGATCTGTTGTTTTGTGCTACTCGAATGCGCCAGACCATGTTTCTTAAGTATACCTAGACGGGCTTTCGGGCTTGGGATGTTTCTACAGTTCCGACGTAGCTTCGAGGACTGTGAGTTGCTATTCTGATACCATTCGTGTTCTTAGGGCTAAGGCCATAGTTTAGTACGACTAGCCGCAGCGCGCCGTCGTGTCTGCCGTATGCTGCGCCCACTACGCAGCTCGCATTTGTGATCTTCTTGCCCTAATAGGTAGACTGCAGGCCGGCCTGTACTGTGGGATAGGCAATGACGTGAGAGCCTACTTCTGCAGTGGCGTCCAAAGGGTCATTGCGGGGGCAAGTGTGGCAAAGCATTGATGAAGCTTTCGGATCATAAACAGAAACCGCTGGGGTACCATGAGTTAAGGGCAGCCTCGCATCTTGATCTTCGTCCATCGTATTTGCGCCTTTGACTGTGCTACGAGCGGTCTGTCAGAGGTCTACTCTAGCGCTGGCGATCGGCTAACGCCGTTGCAGGATTCCGATCGAACACGAGAGGTCATGTCCTGGATGGGATGCCATTCGAGTGACATGGATGACCACGCATCCGAATTTTGGATTACTTTCCAGCCAAGCGCTTCATCCGCTCTTCAGCGGCTCTGGCTCTCTTCTCACGCTCGAGTCTCATCCGCATCTCGTCGGTCATTCCTCTTGCTTCCTCCGCTCGTCGTTCTTCTGCAGTCAATTGCGGTTTGGCTAGCATGTGGCCTTTCCCGAATTTCTTCTCTTGTTGATCGTTGCGTTTCTGCGTGTCCTCCTTGCGTAGACGCTCGATCTCAGCCTGCCTTCTCTGCTTCTCTGCAGCATCTTCTGCGGCCTTCTCTTCCTTCTCACGAGCTGCACGAGCTTGAGCATCCGCTTGCGATAGAGCCGCTGCTACGCCTGCGTCTTCCCAAGACCATTTATCCTCGCCCAGCTGAGCGCGAGCGAGCCGGAAGGCATCACGGGTTGCACGATCGCCTGCAATATCGAATGCTGATTTGCCATCCTCATTTCGTGTCGTCGGATCTGCGCCTAGCTTGATCAATAGAGTGGATACACAGGCTGGGCTGTTGGAGGCAGCGGCTAGATGAAGCGGCGTAGGCGCGTGGTGGTTGTGTTCAGCGGGAACAAATCGAAGATCTGGACTGAGTTTGTTGGACTGGATATATGAGAGCAGTCCGGGTGCTTTCGACCGGCGTATTAGTGCTTGGAGTTGTTGCGTGTGCAGCGCTGCCTCTTCATCTTCCTTCGAGATCTTGGCGGCTTTCGGTGCATTATTTTTGCTGTTAGCCAAAGCTTCAGCTTTCGCAGTAGCTTTGGCTTGATCTTCCTCAGCCTGCCTCGCAAGAGCAGCCTCGTCGACTTCACTGACTTTGACTCTTGTTAATTCGACGAAAGCTCGCATGAGTTCAGATTGCGTCGCGCGTCGCGTGTTGAACGGGAAGCCTCTAATGCGATCGTCGCGGGAATTCAGCACTTGTTCCTCATACGGACCAAACAAAGTCCGCCGATTCGTGGTCCCTGAAGCTCTGATGAATAAGAGTTCTGAGGTATCGATGAGCGGCTTCCACTCGGCCAACAGATCTCGAACCTCCTGAATTAGTGCAGATTCATTATATCGCCGGATGCTAGAGCCTGCAGAATGGGCGTTCCCTTTCGCGTTGTCGTTCGCAGATTGTGAGCCACCTTGTTTCCGTCTCGTCGTGTAGCGGTGGAAGGTCTTGTGTGCAATGACTGTTGCTGATCGATCTTCAATCCCGGCTTTCTTGGTAAGCTTGGGCGTGAGCGAGACGACCATGGCAGCGAAATGTCCACCCCCGATCATGCAAAGAAAATAATGAGGTCCATCGGCGCTCGTTCCTCTCTGAATCATCGAAGCTGGCAAAGCGACGCCTCCATCCTCCTCCTCATCTTTGCTCTGCTGCTTCTTTTGGTGTGAGGGTTGAGGCTTTGGAGCAAGTTGCTTTTGCTTGATAACATCCAGGAGTTTGTCCTCCTGATCCTGTTCCTTCGATGTGAATATCGATCTGTATACTCCGAGCGAGGTGTTCAAAGGCAGCTTCGACGACGAGAACCATATCATCGGCGGCTTCCCTGAGCCCCGCTTACGTTTCAGTGTTGGGGCATCATCAGCGTCGCCATCTGTGATCTTCGCCTGTCTCTTCAGCAGTGCGCTGAGGGTTGACTCGTGCTTATCGTCTTCGTCATCTTCGGTATCTGATGTATCGGAGCCTGATATGCTCTCATCGAGTTGCCCCACCAGCTGCTCAAATTCGGCCTCGCTCACTGGCTTCTTATTCCGCTGTTTCTGCTTGATATTGTACCCATGCAAGTCTGAACGGATGTGGCTGCGCTGTTCCAGCAGGCTGGCGAAGCTCAGGCCACAGAGAGCGCATGATGTGGCTTTCGACGGGGCACCTTCCTGGTTTTCGGTGGCGGTGAGGGAGGGCGAGGCAGGTGTCGGAGGCGGTGGTGTTGTCAAGTCTGGGTCAGCACCGGCGGTGGGCTGGGACTTGAGCTGCAGCGTATACAGGATCTCATCCGGCAAGTCGAAGACTAATCGCAGGGCGGTCAGCAGGTGCAGTCGTCATGGCCAGGAGCGCAGTGACCAACCGTACAGCGGACGCTTCAGCAGTTGGTCTGCGTGGCCGTTGGGAGCAGCCATGTTGGAGAGCAGTCAGTGCGGGCGACAATCAGTGATATTGTGCAGTGCTGTCTCAGGCATCACCGCGATACGCGCAGCGCAAGTTGTGCATCACGTCACCGCCAACTGGGCCCCACCCTGTACCAAAATTTGATTACAGACGCAAGTCATCATCGGGCGGCGGTGGGCGGCTCGATTCGCGCGCGTGGGAGAGAGCAGGCGGGCGTGAAAACGACCATCAAGGTCAACACTGGCCCAAGCCAAGCGTCCACCCGTCCATTCATCACCTGCTCCCGTGCACTGGGCAGCTCCTTCTCATCACCTGCACGCCGCCGTCCGTCGTTGTGTCGACGTTCATTTCTTCCTCCTCCACCACCCAGGACGGGCATCTGCTTCCTGCAAACGCATCTCTCAGACCGGCCACCGGCGGCTTTGTGCACTGTCGGGTTGTGGCTTGACAAAGGACGTGGGTGTGGCGGTGCCAGGACAGTTCACGAAGCGACTCGAAACAAGACGTGATCGGCCATTTCCTGCGACGTCCGACAGCTGCTATCCAAACTCTACGTCCTTCGTCGCAGCAGGGCCAAGTCCTGGCTGGAAAACCATCGTGAAGACCGCATGCCATCATGCCTTTGTCCAACGATGACCGGGGTTGGATCATGTCCGGCCTGAGTGGCGTGGGTAAGTTGCATGACATCCGCTTCTGTCGTATTCAGACAACCAAGCTAATGCACAAATTCACAGCTTGCATATTCGGAGCCTCATTCATCTGTATCGATATTCTCGTTCGCCAGTTCCCGGGAAAGAAAGGCTGGCGGATACAAGACAGCGATGCCTTCCTCTCCACGTCCCTAAGTCTGAGCTTTGGCGTCATGGTAGGATAGACCGATCGCGTCAGCATTATTCCGTGCACGCTGACAGGCTACAGTTGTTTTCCGCCCTATACAACATGCTGCCGTCGGCCAAATCATCCCTGATGAAAGGCGGCTTCACGCCGAAAGAGGCATCTTGGGTTCTGATCGCGTGTTTCGCCGGTGGTGTGATTGGCATTCAGGTTATTTCCAGACTGATGCACCATTGTGTGCCGCACAACGTCGTCGACTGCGAGCACGAACACGAAGATGAAGAGGCCCAGAAGGAGGGCGGTGGTGACCACAGTCATCATGAGCATGGCAACGGCCACCAGCACGAGCAACACGGCGACTCCTTGAACAGGTCATCGAGAAAGAAATCCCACAGGCATTCCTCCAGGAGCCTGCAAATGCAAGAAACGCACAAGTCGTCGTCGTACTTCAGCAGTCACCAGTCTTCACTCTCACAGGCCACGACGGCGGAGTCTGAACATCTCATGAAGCCCTCAATCTCAGCCGATGATGCCGAGCGCAGGCCGACTTTGCAAGCTCGCATCACTTCGAGCGTCTCCAAATTGACATCTGGAAAGGATGCTGAATGCGAATGCGATGGCCCTTGTTTCGGCTACAGCGATCCCTGCCAAGCCAATTGCTTTAAGACCGTAGCTGCTGCCGGCGGTCTCAAACTTCCCAAAGTCAGAGGGGGAGCACACCGCCCAGCGGTGGTCAAGAGTGCAACAGCCACAGAGTCAACACCTTTACTTCAAGGCATAGCCGAGGAGCCGCTGCAACGGCCACAGACGCGAGCAAGGGCCGAGGGAGCGGCCGACTGCGAACACGATCATCACAACAGCGATGGACCTTCAGATAACAGCTCGACAACAGTTGCGGTTGAAGACGACCATCTGCACAAAATACATTCTCACGACAACTCAACGACTGACGAACAACAACCTGAGCATCATCATCACCACGTCCCTACAAATGCATTTATGAACATCGGACTCCAGACTTCAATAGCCATCGCCCTCCACAAACTTCCGGAGGGTTTCATTACCTACGCCACCAATCACGCCAACCCTAACTTGGGAGTTTCCGTATTCTTAGCGCTTTTCATGCACAATATCACAGAAGGCTTCGCCATGGCGCTTCCCTTATACCTGGCCATCAACAATCGATTCAAGGCCATGGTGATATCATTTGTCCTTGGTGGACTTTCGCAACCACTTGGAGCAGGCGTTGCAGCTGTGTGGTTCAAACTCGCTGGTAAGAGCAATTGGGCTCCCTCAGAGAGCGGTTACGGCGCCATGTTTGCCATCACGGCTGGCATCATGACGAGCGTTGGATTGCAATTGTTTGCGGAGAGTCTGGATTTGACGCATTCGAAGCATTTGTGCTTCATTGGAGCTTTTGCGGGTATGTGTATACTAGGCGCGAGCAGTGCGCTTACGGCATGATAGTTTGTACGAGTACATGAATTGCACGAATTGATGAAGTCCTCTCGAGGCTATTTTTAAGATACATTCGATCTAAATCCTGTGATCTGTTGATGGGCGACTTCACGCGTTCAGAAGGCAACTGCTAGGGCTTGGTTGGTGGTCATGCACAATGGCTCGCAAGTCATTCGTGGTCATAAATTGCCAGAATGTTTATTTCCGACATACCGCGGCCAGCACTACTACAACGTGAGCTATAGGCGCATATTGTCCAATGATCTCAAATGGTGGCGTGCTGCAGCGCGGCTCGTAGCATTGGCGGTGCCCGTCTAGCGCAGCCTTGCGCTCGCAATCCTGATCTTGTGACTATAGGAAACCCTCGACGCAGGTATAGCGAGCCCCATGAGAGACGGGATAGAAGTGACAGATTAGGGTCTGGCCGCGGTTCTGCAACTCATCGAGAGGCCTAGGCCTCTGATGACAGGATAAACGCAACGTCGATGTAGCGTCGGTCCAATTGTCGCCTCGCTGCCCTCGTCAACGTGCATACTTCAGAGCCGCGTGACTGCTGTACGGCGCCTGGCGCGTGCCGATCCAACCTGGTGGTTTCCAGGGCGATGTTGGAGCAAACACTGCATCAAGACAGTTACTGAAAGACTTATACCTGTTTCTGTGAACGCTGTGAATCACTGGTGAGAGTCACATTGCCTACAATGTCAAAGAGGACTTGTACATGCACATTCCTGTTCGCCAGACTGTGGCAACGGATTCAGTGCGTATAAATCGTGCTCTCCAGATCTCGATCGTGAAGATCCATTCGGCACTGGTTTTCCGCCGCCAGTACAACTAGTACTCCTTGCCCGCGGTTCCTATCCCATTGGCAGAGGTCAATTCCGTCGTTGCATTGCTCAAACAGAGACCGACCGGCCATTGCGGCTGAGATTTGTCCTGCCGTGGCCCCATGATCAATGTCATCGCCTCGGCGTCTGTCAACGAGAGATAAATGTAAGGCAGAAGCCCATTCGTGAAACGGCCATGTCAGTCCCGTCCCTCGAACTCCATGGATAGACAATCCAACTCTCCCTGCCTTCGGTAACGTAACAAACTTTTCACAAGCAAGTGGCGGCGGAACTCTTCAACAGAGAGCATGTCCAGCTATCCTGCGGCCAAAAAGTTAGCTATGCGAACCGGGTTTCTAAGCTGCCGCAGCTTTAAAACCTGCATTGGTGCTGACGGAACATAGTACTGAGGGCCATGCAGCCCAATCCCAAGATTCATCATCATTGGCTACTCCAAGATACACTTGCCCATGTGGACGCAAGCTAGCTTCCTCGAACGATGAAGCACCTTCGACGAACGACTGCAAGGATAACGACGATCCTTTTCACCGTTGGCTGAGGAGCAAAGAAGACACGATCTTCAGAGACGGAAACGCATCAGGCTGGGAGCGTCTGGCAAGAGACGATCGAAAGACCGCTGAAATAATCGAAGCAATGCTGCGCAAGAAAGACAAGTGAGGTGGCAACGGAACATTCGATCGCACTGTACATTAGCTTCGTTCTTGCTGTACCAACAAATGTACTCATGACGCTTTCCTTGGCTCTATGCGAGATGCGATAACGTCCACAATTTTCCTCAACCCATGTTGGCGTTCTTCTTGCTTGTTGCACAGGAACAGCTTCACCACAGGCCAGGCATGGATCCAGCCATACTCTTCGTACTCGTCCACTCGCACCTCGGCTTTGTTCAATTTTGCGATAAGGTCTTTCGCTTCTGGCGCGAAGACCTCCTCAGAAGCGTAGATGAAATACCAGCCTTTACTCGGAGATGCGCGTCGCCACCAGCTGAGATCATCGCAACGTCCTGGTGAGACCAAGGCATTGTCTTGAGACCCGTTCTTGCCGATGTATTGTGTTCCATAGAGATGAAGGCTGTCGGCGTTGAGGTAGTCTGAGGGCGTGTTCTGATTCTTCGGCGAGATGATCGTCGCCCAAGGAGAGATGATGACGGCCAGTCCAGGCATTTTGTTTTTAAGAGATGAATAGCCAGAAACGCATAGCATCAGGCTCAATACCAGTGTTGCTCCTGCGGAGTCGCCGCTGACCACGATCTGCGAAGGATCGTCGACTGTCGAAAGCACGTACTTGTAGCCAGCTAGAGCTTCCTGGACTTGCGTTGGATAAGTGGCTTCAGGTACCAAAGTGTACTCTAGGGCGAAAAGCGCTGGGTTTTGATAACCGGCTTCCTTGAGAAGGGTTAACCAGACAAGCAAGAACTCGAGATAGAAGTATGAAGAGCCCATTGAGAAGCCGCCACCTAATACGGTCAGTATGCAAGATAAGAACTGCCGTCGGTCACGTACCATGACAGTAGTATAGCATTATGTCTGGCTTGCGCGATGCATCCATAACAGCATAGATCCCTTTCAGGCCATCTCGATTGACTTCACGCCAGTAGATGGGCTTTCTCAATATGCCATGTCGCAGCATACGAAACCGCATAAACGGCAAAGCCACCCATTTCGAGAAGAAGACTTTGCCAATAGCTGCTGGGATGTCCGAGAATGCGTATCTCACGCATCTGATGACGAGGTCCTGGAATAAAGTGGCCCGCTGGACGAACGGAGATCGCTGCTTTCTGGGAGTGAAGTAACGCTCACGGACGAGCTGTATGGGCATTCTGATCACTGCCCTCGCTGTCAGCTTGTGGACCGACAGGCTTGAGAGACCTAGCTTGGCTTACACAGAAACGGCAAGGCCCTGATCCCACATATTGCTGTCTGAAAGAAGCCAATCTGAATGAGAAGTTGCGGGGCCAGGAAGAGGAGGAAGGCGATGCAATCGACCCATGCTATTTGGCCTAGAATCATCGCTTTGCTGGTCTCCAGAGTCTATGTCTATGGGCGGGCATGTGGAAGAAAGTGATGTTGGAAGCGTTGGAACAAAGCTAGAAACGTTGGCGCCTCGGGATCCAACTCGTCCATGCTGACGTAGTCAATGCGCCGAGAGGCACATGATATATCTCGCTGGCCAGAGATGATGATTCTACAGCTTTAGTAGATGACAATCACTTCAGTAGCCTATCTCGTTCTCCAGTCCGTCATTTTCTGAAAGTGTGCATTCCGATGGTAGCACAATCGTCACTGCTGGTGAAGTCATCGGCATTCGGATCGCCGGCGGAGCGGGAGGGTCCGCGTTGCGCTTGCTTGCTGAGTCATGTCGTCTTTGGAAAAGATGGCAGTCGCGTGGCTATCAAGCGCAAGGCACGACATCAGCGACCGACCTGCCATCGCCGCAACCTCTTCACGACGTCGACATCTCTCACGGCCAGCCGCATACGCCGCCGGCATTCTTACCCGCCGCCCTCATCGCGCGCCTGCCACCGATGAGGACAGCGACATCTCCATCGCAAGCTTAAGCTGCGGCCGCTGTCCGCGATAGCAGCACCTCCGCTGTCACCACCACCCGCTCCCATTTGCGCAACCCTCTCAAAACCGCCAAGATGGCGTTGACCGGCGCCGCGATCGAGTTCGCAGGGTCAGTCAATATCTCAACGCACTTCGAGTCTGTGTCGACAGTCGCTAACCTGCAGGCAGCACGTTCGAGGTCGCGTCCATTCCCGCGAAGCTCCGTTGCGCCGTTTGTGACAAGATGGCTCTCTTCGCATTCAGGGTTGAGTGTTGCGACAGCGACATCTGCGGTAATTGTAGGTCTCGAGTGTGCGCTGAACACGGCCAAGGCATGTCTGACATGGAACAGGCAAAGAGAACCTCGACCCATCCGAGTGCCCAGTATGTGGCCACACTCCTTTCAAAATGGAGACCGCGAAAAAGGCCAACAATCACCGCACGACCATCAAGATCTTCCTCAAGACTCAGGCCGGGAAGCAAGGCATGGATATCACCGGGGACACACTCAAGCCGATCGCGGCCAAAGAGGCGACGCCTGCGCCAGCGGTCGAGGCAACACCGACACCTGCTGCCAACAACGAGCCCGCAGTAGCTCCTGCTGAAGTCCAGGAAGCCGGCGCCGATGGCGAGCCGGCACCTGGAGATGCTCCTCAGGTAAGATCAGTGGTACAAGACAAGTCAGGAAGTGCTGATCATATGCAGGGTGAGACTGAGGCGAACGGCGATCTGGAGCACACAGAGGTCAACGCTGCTGATGGCGGGCAAGACGAAGAAGACGATGACGAATCCGACGATGACGACGTTGTAATCACCACTGAACGACCAGACAACGAGGAGCAGCAGCAACAGGGACAAGACCAAGAGCACGAGCAGTACGAGGAGGAGGCCAATGGCGAACAAATGGTGAGTCAGAACATGCCCATGAACCAACAGCAAGGCTTCGGCGGCTTCGATCAAAACATGGCTGCCTTTGGCAACGCCAACTTCGCGAATATGGGCATGAATGGCTTCAATCCGATGATGGGTATGATGGGCATGGGAATGCCAAACATGATGGGTAGGTCCACCTTTTCTTTCAACTATCCTTCTACGGCGCGGCAGCGGCGACGGCTTATACCTCGGGCAGGCATGCCAGGCATGGGCATGGGCATGGATCCATCCATGATGTTCAATGGAGGCTTTGGCGGCATGGGAGATATGAGTGCTATGATGGGCATGAACGGCATGGGAATGGGCGACATGTCGGGCATGGGCAGTTTCGGTGGCATGAATGGACCTGGGTTCTTCCCGAATCAAGGCAACTATATGCAATCACAGAATTTCGGAAACGGTCCACGGCAAAACTTTTCCTATGATCGTGGCTACCGAGGCGGTCGCGGCGGCTTCGGTAGGGGCGCCCGTGGTAACTTTGGTCGCGGCCGCGGCGGATATGGATTTCAGCAGCAGCAGTACGGTGGTCAGCACTCCGACTTTCCTCCCAATGCGCCCACGGGCCCTAGCGGAGCGCGACAGCAGAGCGGAGCAAACACCACAGAGCTAGCCAACCGGCGCAGAGGCTCTCCAACATACGACGCAATGGGTGGTTCAAACGGAGCTCCCGCTGAGTCGAGAGGCGACGTGAATGAACAAGCTGCCAATGGAATCCAGGAGTCCGAGGATACTAATCGCGCAGAGAACGATACTAATGCCGCAGGCGAGAATGTTGAGCAGAATGATGGTGACGCTGCGCCAAACACACAAGGTAAGCCTTCTTTTCCCTCTTCACGTGCCACTAGAAGCTCACCAGTCGCTACAGATGCTACTCAGCTTGGCGCGGACCACGACGAAGGGGCAACTCTGGAAGCAGCCGGACAGGCACTACCTAACGATGGTGTCAGAATGGAGAGCGTCGTGGTGGCAGATCCTTCATACGGCAACTTCGACGAAGCCGCACAGTACGGTCAACATGATCATGCCATCTCAAGTGGTCGTGGAGGTTTCAGAGGGCGGAGCGGATCAGGCTATGGCGGTTACCAAGGCAGGGGCACTGATAGTACCGAGTTGACTCCTAAGCCTGCTCCACCAGTCAATGCACCGACTGGTCCCAAGGCGTTGCGTCAAGGTCTCCCAAATACTGGCTGGGTCAGCCGAGCTAGCTTGCCAAAACCTGCGAGCACAAATCCACCTGCTCCTCAGCGTTCAGACTCTCAGACACGCTCAGTTGAGCGCTCGCGGCATGATCTCTCGAATGAACGTGACATTGATGCGCGTGATCGATCAACATCTCGGTCAGGATCCAAATATCGCAGCAGGGACGACCGAGAGCGTGATGTCGAGGATGACTACGAGGACGATGAAGCGTATGCCCGTCGCAAAGAGCGCAAGCGTCGCGAGCGCAAGGACCGTGAGAGAAAATATGAGGAAGAAGACCGTGACGAAGATAGCGGGTCCCGCAAGCACCGGTCACGATCAGAGTCGCGAGAGGACGATGGCTCACGACGCCGCCACCGTGACAAGGACGATGAGCATCGCTCTTCACGCTCGCATCGTGACCGGAGCAAAGACCGACATCGATCACGCCGACACCGCTCCAAATCACCCACGAAAGACTACGATGACGATCATTACTCGCGTCGCAAGAGTCGACGCGATGATAAGTACGACGACTACAAGGACAGCCGCAGCAGCCGTAAGGGCTCCCGTCGCGAAGATGACTACGAGTATGAGGACAGCAAGAAGGACCGATCGTCGCGCTCATCCCGGCACGACCGTGAACGCGACCGCCCGCGTCCCGTCATCGAGCCTCCTTCCGATGAGCTTGGCTTCAAAATCAAAGGCTCGACCAAGAACAAGAAGGATGGCATGGCACCTCCTTCAACGTTCCATCGTGAGCGCAGTGATCGACGTGGAAGTGCCGCCACCGAGTCTGCAGGCGCGGATCCCTATGCCGAAGAACGCGCACGCGCACAGCAAGACCGCGAAGCCAAGGAAGCTCAACGCAGACAGTCGACCAACGATTCCCGCTCTTCTCTGGGCAAGCGTGGTCGTGAATACGACGATGAGCCGGTTGTCCCTACGGGGCCAAAGGGCGATCGCAACAGAATCAAGAAGAGCAGAAAGGAGCGCAGAATTCCTTACAAGTACGAGGATGAGGTCCAAATGAGCTAGGACACCAGAGATCTCATCTCGAAAACCCGGCATTCTCGCATCCAGGGTACTTCTCAGCGTAAGGACTTTCGAACCAGACAGGATTCACCGCAGAGGCGCACTCGGGAACTAAATGATCGTGTAAGACTACTGCATTGGATGCCGAGGAACGTTTAACGACACGAAGAAGACCAACATAACTGCGATCTTGTGGTCTGTACAAGAACACATTGCGAGCGCCGATGGGCTTCTGCTATCAATAGAAAGCAACGGGTCCTGTCGTATGCCCTGTCTTTTCTATGATGATGCTATGATCGGCATTGCATTTGCGGACGGAGTGAAACACAAAAAAAAAAAGCGTATGCTGTACGACAGAGGCCACAATGCGTGTGGCCAGCTGATGGAAAGGATCAAAGAATGGCTCCCACATTGGGGCTCCATGCTATCGTTGCCGCAGACTAATAGCACTGTACATTATGCTGCTCCAGGCATGCTTCTGGACATCGAACCACTGATGCAGGCCAGGTAGCAAGACCGAAGATACCATTGAATAATGCAGACTGACTTGTCGGAACATCTGTCACAAGTCTCTTTCTCATCGTTGCATGTGTGAAATCTTCCAATGAGCGTGTATAGGTTTATGTGTCTATGTTTCTATCTGTGTGTACAGGTCATATGCATTCGTAACTTATTGGGTATCTGTCGTTCATAAGCGCACCACAGGTCTCCCGAACATGGGCAGAGCTGTACCACCACTCAAGCCAGGTGGAGGTGCAGCATCCGCGCGTTTCTCTGAGGCTGTTCCTACTGTTTCATCATCCTTCGAGCCTTCTCCCTTTCCCAGGCACCAAGCATCTTCATTCCAGCCCGGTGGCCGCCAAGTGAAAAGATCAAAGGCCTCTCGACTCCATGGCCCCAGATCTTTTGGCTCCTCAGTACGCTTCGGTTTTGCATTTGCCTTGCCTGGTGCGTGAAATGGTTTGCTCAGGATGACCGTTGATGTGCCATTCGACGTCACGTTCAAGCTCACAGACTTCTGCAGTGGCCCCTTCTTCCTGTATGCAGTCCTATCAGGAGGCGAGCGAGCAGCTCTGGCTGGTTTGCCTCCCGCCGGCACTGGCGTTGTCTGCCTATCGCGAGATCCGGGTCCAGGAGTGTTTTCGCGCGACCTCCTCGTAGGGGATGGCGTGTACCGCACTGGAGCACCTGGTAACCTTTTCGACTTGGTAGGGTGTGTTGTGTCGGATAATACACGTCGGAGCGTTCTCGTCTCCTTCGCAGGTGATACTGATCTTCTATAAGGTACTTCAGGCTGGGGCTCATGTACGGTTGCTGGTCGAGGGGCTGCTGGCGGTAGCATGAGGCCATCCAGTCGCGCCAATCGTGTTGCAGACGTTTCACGCTCTTGCCCAGCTCGCAAGACATTTCCTTCGCCAGCAGATTCTGGAACAGGTCCTTCTTGCATTTCGACGCTGCTGTCAACCAGGTAACCAGCACTTGTTCTCAAGTCGTCTGGACGACTTTCAACGTGGCTTTCAGTCACGCTAGACCGTTTTGATGCCTTCCTCTTCGCATTGATGTGCGCAAGTCGAGCCTCAACCTTGTCGCGCAGCGTTGACCCTCGGTCGATTTGATCTCCGTCAGTAGCTTGACTCAGAGACGATGACGGGTTGACTCCTGCAGTCGTTGTTGAAGCATCTTTAACGGGTTTCATTAGCTGATCGTGGCACAATAACGTTCTCTTTCTTCGTCCAGTACTGCTCAGGCGGAGAGTTTGACCACGTTCTGTTGCGACAATCCGCTTGGGAAGAATTGTCGTATCTATCGGCCTGTTATCCGCAACGCTGTGGTGCGTACCAGACGGAGCCTTCTGTCGCCGCTGTGCTGACGGGCTCTCAGCTGTCACTCTTTCTATAGCTTTCTTGCGTTGCTCTGTACGATCGTTTGTTGCACTACGCTGATTCGTGTCAGGTTCTGTCTGCTTGCCGGCCATTTTGCGGTTACGATCGGACGCCAGCTCTTGTACTTGAAAGGCGGGAGAACTAGATCTGACAGGTGCATCATGGTCTGTGTTGGTACGCGCCTTTGACGGAGGCATTGGAGAACTCTCAAGAATGTCATCTGAGAATCCAGGCCGGTGATCGTCCTGTGTTGGCGCGTCGGACGATAGATCGATCACTTCCTTCGTGCCCGACTGTTGGTCATTCTCGTGCGTAGATGTTTGCGCTTTTCGTTTGGCGGCATCAGCGGTCCTTGCCCACAACGGAGCCTGAATTTCTCCTTTCCTAGAGCCCCTGTGCGTTTCATTGGCGTTCGGTCGTGTCTCAATCTCGACCCGGGCGCGCTTGGGTGCTCGCCCGTTCTCCCACTCTTCGTTCTCCATACGAGCATGCCTCTCCTCGAATGGAGATTTGGTGGGTAGCTGGGCTTTGCCAATCGGTCCTCTCGGTGTCCCGAGAAGTGTGTTCAATGATTTGTGCTTCAGTGGTGCTTGTGCACTGGTTCTCTGCAGGCCTGCGGTGGGCTGCGGTCTCGCCATTTGCGCCGCTCTTTCTGGCGATGAAGATGATGATGGCCCTTTGGTCTTGCTCTTGCTCTTCCTCAACTCTGTCAGATCGGTCTGCGTCTGGCCAACACTCTCCCCAACTTCAACCAGCACGCCGCCCTGCTGCAGCGTGATCTCATCACCATCTTGAATCGCCTCGCTGCCCGCCCAGTGCACGTCTCCGATGAAATTCCGCGGGATATCGTAGACCATGACACGTTTGTTGAAAGTATGAAAGCGGAGGAAGCCATCTTGCCATTTGCGTCGCTTCTTGTGAGCATCACTGTGCGAGAGTTGTGAGCAGTACGTCGGACAAGCCGGGTGTCCTCGGGGCGACTTACTGCGTGTATAGACAGTTGAATTCCAGAACAGGCGCAGTGTTCTGTGTCAGCGGCACCGACATTGCCGGACTGCTGCGATACACGGCCGTGGTCATGGCGGGCCTGATGCAGCATGTTTTTGCGGCAGACGCGATGCTGAATTATCGTCCGCGGAAGCTTCGATGAGGAAGACGTGCTGGACCGCGTAGCGAAGCGCGTGAACACGTGACGAGACATAAATCGACCCAACATCTCGTCAGCAACCCTCCTCCACGACAGGCTGCAGCAACAGCTACATCCGGGATCGTTTGCAGCTTCCAACCACTCTCGAACGTCGGGCCGACACGCTATTCACCGGCATCAGGCACGTTCTGAGGATGAGCGGCCAGGTTTGCGACGATCGAGATCACTGAGGAAGCTTCGCACCGTTCGGCTGGTCTACGGAGCAAGCGCCGAACCTGGTCATTCCCATGGTCGCCAAGAACAACGTCAATCTTCAGAGACGGGGCCGATTGACGTGGTGTCGCACAACTCAACGCCAGAACAGATCGTCGTCCGCTGAGAGACACGCCACGCGACTGATAGCACGAGGCACAAATAGCACGGCAGGCAGGCGAGATTGTCGGTGTCAGCATCGCGCCTTCCAGGCGGAGGTTCAAAATGCGGGCGAAGCTTGGTGGCGACTGCACCAGATAACTTCTCAGAACGCCAGATGCTCGATCCGACCCACTCTCCCAGTGCGCGCGCGACAAGCAAATTGTGCACCTTGCGATTCGATGGACCCGCAACAGCCAGATCCCGCCATGGCTTCGACTTCGCCTCACGGCTTCGCAGAGAGTGCGCATCGACGCGAAAGGGCCGTGATCGCGGCCCAAGCGTGTCAAACGTGTCGGAACAGGTATGAGTGACCAGTTGGCAGCAACACAGCGCTGTGCAACTAACGCCTTGCTAGAAAGAGCAAATGTGACGAAGCGCGCCCCAAGTGTGCGTAGGACACCCACTCGGACGAACAATTCGAAGCCCATAGCGTACGAAATAGCTTACGCCCTCTAGGTGGTCTGTGCCGCAGGCTCAATGTCGAATGCGTCTACAGAGAGCCGCTCCCAACGAAGTACGTGACTGTATAGTGTCCAGGAGGAGCGGCTCCGCCTGACCAAGAAAGTGCGCTGATTAAACCTGGGCAGGAAGGACAAAACCATGGTCCACATTCTCGACACCCTGACGAGATTGGAGAATAAATTCGATAATCTCGCCCTGGGGTCAACAGGATCCAGTACACCAGAGACAAATGTATCAAGCCACGGAGCTGCGACCAGTACTCCAGCAACATCTTTACGACAGTATCAAAGTGGCAATGAACAGAGCACGCCGAGATTTCCCACCGAATTGCAGCAAGGATACCATCATCTAACGGTGCCACACAAGATCATACTTTGGCCTAGCGTGTACATACACCTTGTCAATTCTGGCATCAGCGCGGCGTCCGACCTGCAATATGTGCTCCAGGAAGGCACTCAATGGTTTATCAAACAAGAAATGAGGAGCCACCAAGACCCTCTTCCCGCAGAGCCGGGTCTACAAAGCTACTATGTCCAAGATCCCGCTGGCGGGCAAAGCAAGCCCCCTCGAGTAGCGTTTCATGCTTTAACGCCCCCGCGCATTCAAGAGTACTGCGACGCATATTTCAATACCTTCAATGTTCTGGCTCCAGTGCTGAACCGGGATACGTTCATGTCGGGAATCATTAATCCCATTCTGCAACGCGGTTTTGCAGATGGAGAATCGAGCAGCGTTCTTGCGTTGCTAGTTCTGGCATTGGGGCAAGTCGCATCCGAGGGTGTCTTTGAGCGACCGATCAGCATGGTCAACGGTACCCCAAGCGGATTCCGCGGGGGTACTGCTGAGCGGCCCCCTGGCCTGGAGACTTTCAATGAGGCGCGACGTAGACTTGGCTTTGTGGCCACACAGATGTCGCTAGAGAACGTGCAAATTCTACTTCTGCAAGGCACATACTATGAAGCCACCGCGAAGCATCTCGACTTCTGGCGATCGACAGTGACTGCGTCCATGGCATGTCAGGTGCTTCTCAAGTGCGAGACTATCGATTGGCAGTCTCATCACGGAGATCTGGTGAAAAGGGCGTACTGGACTTGTGTCCTTAGCGAGGACCTCTATCACTTGGACCTTGATCTGCCCCAGAGTGGCATCCAGACCTTCGAAGACGTGGTTCCCTTGCCCTACTTTACCGAGGGCCAGGAAATGCACACTCCAGGCTTTCCCGTGCACACTAGTGGCGCCTCGACATATGAAGACAGAGATCGATCGCATTTTCAGTACCACTTTCTTGCCATGATCGCTTTGCGAAGGCTGATATCGCGGATCCACGAAGTAATCCATGAATGTGAGTGACACGAAGGCAAAGTGCTGTAGGCAATCACTAATCACGAGCAGCATCATCGACACAATCCGAATCTTCAGATGATTACGGTGGACCTCCAGTAACTGTCATTCGAGAAATGGCCCGTCAGCTTGAATCATGGCGCTCGCTGCTGCCGCGGCCATTGCAGTGGCAGGATACCGAACAACTGGACTTTCCAAATATCGATATCACTGGACGAAGACCCAACGAACCGCTTTTCAGTCCCGATCAAGGCCCAGTACCAATAGGTCACAAATACAATCTTGATCTCGTCACAGCCCAGCTGCGGACTCGATTCTACTACGCCCGCTTCATGATGTATCGACCTTTTGTATACAAGGCGCTACACTTTCCAGAACTCATGACTGAGGAAGACGCCAACTACTGCGGTCTAGCAATCAGAGCATCCCTCTTGTGGCCCATGGCCATGGCTCCACCGAAAAATAAGAAGCGCCTGGTACCGCACCTTTTTGCATGGACCCAGAATTTCATGGGTATCTTGCTCATACTGCGAATGACCACTGAGAATGAGTGCCTCAGGCGCATATGCGATGAGCACGTTAATCGCGACGAAATTACGAGTACGGTTTCGTGCATGTTGGAGTGGGTTCGGGATGTTCGACAAGTAGACGGCATCGCGGAATGGAGCTGGCGTATACTGGAGCCCTTGTACGCCGTGGGCCAGGGACAGTCGCATGGGTAGAGTCCATTCGACAAGCCCAAACGATACCACGATGGCGACACTGAAGCACGACAAGAAGATCCGGAGCTTATAAATTTGCTGGTTCGCAATCTGTCGAGCACAGTAAAGGCTTCTGACCAGCAGATGGAGCAATGAACGGGCTGAGGAAATTCGCGGAACTGACTGCACGAGTCATCATCAAAGATGCATGCATATACTGGCGCAGCCATGAGCAAGTGCTCACACTTACACCACTCGCGAAGTCATGGCAAGCCGTGCGAAGAGATGGGAACATGATGTCTCGAGCATTTCGTCCTCTCACGAGTTCGAAGCTAACAGACGTCGACGGTAATTGGTCTGAATGATGCGGTTTTCTCGCGCTTTGAACCGCACGCGATCAAGACGCACCAGCAAGATATCGATAGCATGTACAACATTCATATAGCGGTTATTTGTGTAGCGAAACGTCCTAAGTAAGAATCTCTGTCTCGTGCCTCCCAGACCGCCATGTGCTATAAATCGAGGCGTTATCGTTATCGCAGGACAAGGATAAAGTGAGTGAGTCTTGGCGCTAATCGTCATCCCAACTGCGTTTGACCCACAGATTCGAACGAACTTCCATACAACAACATTGCCATTTTCGGAGCTACACAGCCGACGCGCCTCAACACAGAATCTTCTCAGCAATTCGTTGATCAAGCGGCAGGGACTTTTGATGAAGGCGCCGCACTGAGTCCAAGCGAATATCGGACGTTCGCCAGGATGAGTGCTCAAGTGGGCGCCCCGCGGGGCGATGTGACAGAGCAGACCACTGCTGAAGTCCCAAAAGGCGAAAATGGGACAAGTACTGATGTCACCAGCGATGAAGAGTCTTCAAGTGTAGAGTCGGACGAGGAAGAAGTCGACGAATCATCTGCCAAGCCCAAAGTCGAGGATGATGGAACGGAGACTCTACCGCTGTACCGCAAGCTGCAATCTCGACGAGTCGACCTGGTTGGCGACTATGCTGGAGACGAGCTTTTCCTGATCGAAGGCGACTCGATGCTGCGGAGATGTTTGGATGACGAGAAGCTGGACTTTTCTCCTGGCTTGCAACTTCTGCACGCAGTCTACAACGTGGAACATTTCCTTCATCAATTGGTTAAGAGGAAGTGCAATTTCAACATCATATTCTTCGAGAGCAATAGGAAGCTCTGTCTTCCTCCGCTCGCAGACGATGCGACTGCCAGCCGATTTTACCTGACAAGGGCGGCCGTGATTCGCCACTTGCAAGCGAACATTGCAAGAGTCCACCCAGACATTCATATCGATGTCTTCGATTCTTGGAACTCGCCCACTTTCATTGACTACCTTAAAGAAACATCTCCGTACTTCTTGATGGCGCACGATGGAGCACGAGCCGTTGACCGCAAGTCCAATCGAAATGTAGACGATTTGGACTCGCCCTCACCGAAAGCTCACAGAGTTGCGCTGCGGCAGATGATTCTGTCTTTCATCGGACGGGGTTACAACGTGGCACTGGTCAATGGACTTGAATGGCGCGATACCAAAGTCATGACCATGGTGCTAGAGACAGGGAGACGCACAGCGAAACTTGCGAAAAGTGGGCTTCAGTTCACCCCTAACAGCTCCAGCCTGCCACAACTGGATGTGACAGCAGACCTGGGGAAACTTCGGTCACAATCGACTGGTCTGTCGCATAGGCAGTGTTTGGCAGTGTTGACGATTGCAAGCATGTTTCGTGAGAATGCCAACGTGGACGTGGCAGTAGCTGCCCGTCTTGGCGCCACTTTCCTGCTTCACACTGCTCTTCTTGAGCATCTCCCGATATCAGGACGCCGTGTGCAAGTGAGCGGTGCGAGCAATGAGATACAGGATTTCCTTAATGGCCTGTCAGCTACTGCTGAAGCCATTTTGAACAGTGCGAGCTTCGACGATCTGAAGGGGAGCGAGAATGCGGTGGACATATTCGACTTCATCGACGGCCGCTTATTTCTGAACGTGGCAAACTCAAAGCCACAGGTCACGTCTGAGGTGAAGCGTACGCTTGACGAGCTTCTGGCGGCCCTTCATGCCATCTCGCAACAGGCAGAGATCGACACCAGCGCTATGCCATCTGAGTCGGCTGATGCAAAGCCCATACCAGCCCAGGAGGCTCCAGCAGAGAAGACTGTAAGGGTCCTGCCATTTGCCAATCAGATATTCGACAAGCATCTCGACTTGGTGAAGATTAAGACTACATCAGCAGAATCTCCAGGCAGTGCTCAGGCGCAGAGAATTTTTCGCGAGGTCACCCATTGGCACAATTACAAGAAGCCAATCGCCGCCAAACCTGTGGCTGTTGCACCAACAGATACGAAGGAAGCCAGGAAGAAAGCTCGCGAGGATCGCAGAAACCAGCTGTTTATGGCTGAGATGCGGACATACGCAGCTTCTCTAACAAACGCGGTGGGCAAAAGCCTGGAACCCGAGACCATCATCGTCGGTGCTGTCAAACAGGCTCCAATCAAGAGTGGCACTGCTTCACCAGCAGACTCCGACACCGACAGCACGAGCTCGGTGCAGAGCAAAGGCAAATCTGGAGGAAAGAAGGGCGGCAAGACTGCTCAGAAGAACGCCGGCAAGCAAGCCATGCTCAACAACATCGCGGCAGCGAAAGCCAAGAAGGATGAGAGTGCAAGTGACAAGATCCATGCTGCGTGGCAAGTCTCTTGCAAAGGCTTTGAGGCGGACAAGGATCCTCGAGGACGTTACCGCAAGGCGAAAGAGTACCTTACCAACATCCAGCCGGCTTGGAGGGAAGTTTTTGGGGCTGAAGGAGAGCTCTATCTCGTCAGCAACCTCCTTCACTTCTGGACAGATGCATGCCGCCGTGGCGAAAAGAAAAGCAGAGCACAAGTTGCCGCCTTGATCTGGGATCACTGCCGCCGTATCGCGCAGCATGGAGTATTGTCAAAGACAATCGCGAAGAACCTGGAATTGACACGAACAAGTCTTAACCTCCCACCACTTCCGGCCTACACAGAGGGCTCAGTCGACAGGAAATTGGCTTTCACCTTCGCACTTTCTGGCAAATCAGATGGTCTCGCAGTCGAGCTGCCATCGCGCGAATTCCAATTGATCGAGTGTGGGCCTTACCTTGAGCGCTCCTTCGATTCGAAATCCGACCACCGTGTCGATTTCAAGCCTGATGGCTGGCAGCGTACTGTGCTAGACACCATTGACGCTGACAAATCTGCCTTTGTTGTTGCTCCCACATCTGCTGGTAAAACATTCATCTCCTTCTACGCCATGCGAAAGGTCCTCGAGGCGGACGACGACGGCGTACTCGTATACGTCGCCCCTACAAAGGCACTCGTCAACCAAATTGCCGCAGAAGTGCAAGCACGATACTCTAAGAAGTTTAAGTACGGTGGCAAGTCCGTTTGGGCTATTCACACGAGAGATTACAGAATCAACAACCCGGTGGGTTGCCAGGTTCTTGTCACGGTACCTCATGTACTTCAGATCATGCTTTTATCCCCAGCTCACGCCAACACGTGGTCATCGCGCGTCAAGCGTATCATTTTCGATGAGATTCATTCTATCGGACAAGCCGAGGACGGAGTTGTTTGGGAGCAGCTGCTTTTGATGGCGCCATGCCCCATCATCGCACTTTCGGCCACCGTTGGCAATCCCAAGGAATTCAGTGACTGGCTTGCGACCACACAGCAAGCGATTGGGAAGGAGTTGGTGACAGTGCACCATCCATACCGTTACTCTGACCTGCGCAAGTACTTCTATGTCCCACCCAAGAAGTTCGGCTTCCACGGAATTTCGGCGAAGAGAGCATTCGGGTCTCTTGGTCTCGAAGGCCTCACTGGATTCAGCTTCATTCATCCTGTTGCAGGACTGATGGATAAATCTCGTGGCATCCCCAAAGATCTTTCGCTTGAGCCACGTGATTGCTTTACTTTGTGGAAAGCAATGACCAAGTTCGAGACTGAGAAGCACAAGGTACCTGCCTCTCTGAGCCCGGCTAAGGCGTTACCCGAAGTCTCTCGCAAGATTGATATCCTGAACTGGGAGAAAAACTTGAAGAATCTTCTCAGCGATTGGCTGAACGATCCAAGCTCGCCATATGATAAAGTTGTGCAAGAACTGGGGCAAGAGTTCCGGAACGAAGCTCGCGAAGAGGTCTTTGCAACTGATCCCGAGCAGACAGACACTGGTGCATTGACGCGGATCGAGGAAGATCGTCCTGCCTCGTCGACTCTAGCACTCCTGTGCCGCCTCCACGAGCAGGACGCAATCCCCGCGATCTTCTTCAATTACGACCGCCATGAGTGCGAGCGTATTTGCAAAGAGGTTGTTGGCCAGTTGCAATCAGCTGAGGAGAAGCAAGTCAAGAGCGGTCCAAAGTGGGCAAAGACACTCGAGCGCTTCGAGGAGTACAAGAAGATTAAGGCCAAGAACAACGCCCGCAACGCCAAAGCTACCGCGAAGAAGACAAAGTTGCAGGGAGAAGGAGACGAGAAGGGCTCCAAAAACGACCTCGAACGCGATGGAACTGATGATGGAGTATCCAAGTGGGAGTCATTCGATCCTGACGCTCCCTCGGAGAACTACCATTTCGCAGACTACACGAAAGTGTTGAAATCCGATCTTGAGATCTTAGTGCGTCAATTGCGACGTCGCGAGGTTCCCGAGTTTTTCATTGAAGCTCTTTATCGTGGAATCGGTGTCCATCATGCTGGTCTCAACAGAAAGCTCCGCCAGATCGTCGAAATCTTGTTCCGCAAAGGATTCTTGAGAGTAATCATCGCAACCGGGACACTCGCGCTGGGTATCAACATGCCGTGCAAGACTGTAGTCTTCTCCGGCGATTCAGTCTTCTTGACGGCTCTCAACTACCGCCAGTGTGCAGGACGAGCAGGACGACGTGGATTCGACTTGCTTGGAAATGTGGTCTTCCAAGGTGTTTCTCGCCAGAAGGTCTGCAGACTGCTCAGTTCTCGTCTGCCAGATCTCAACGGTCATTTCCCGCTGACGACTACTCTGGTCCTGCGTCTTTTTACCCTGTTGCACGAATCGAAGGGCTCCAAATATGCCAATAGCGCTATCAATGCTCTGTTATCGCAGCCACGCATGTACATGGGTGGCAAGTCATTCAAAGAGCAGACGATGCACCATCTCCGGTTCTCGATTGAGTATCTACGACGCCAACAACTGCTCGGAAACGACGGCGCGCCTCTGAACTTTGCTGGACTCGTGTCGCACTTGTACTTCACAGAAAACTCGTCTTTTGCTTTCCATGCTCTCCTCAAAGAAGGTAAGTTCCACACCGTATCCCCTGTTTTACTTCACATCTAACACGTACCTAGGCTACTTCCACAAGCTCTGCGCTGAGGTGGAAAAGAATGAGAAAGGCACCTTGGAGTCCTTGATGCTCGTGCTATCTCATCTCTTCGGTCGGATCGAATGTCGACAGTCTGATGAGGAATACCGTAAGAAGGTCGTTAAGCCATCATCGTCTGTCGTTTTTCTGCCGCCGATGCCAAAATCCGCCTCCGATATCTTGGTGGAACACAACAAGCAGACGCTTTCCGTCTACCGCGGATATGTTGCGACCTTCGTCGATCAGCACATCAAGGACGAAGACCGCAAACTGCCTCTATCAGGTATTAACGCGGGCCCAGATGGGTCTTCGGCACCAGCGAGCATCCCTTCGCTGCCACCGTCTCGTCTCAGATCATCTTTCGTTGCACTGTCTGGAGCTGGAGATGAATTCGAGAATATCCACGATCTCTGTCACACGGTCCGAGATGGCGTGTTCCTCGAGGAGGCTGTAATCCCGCACATGGATGTCTACCCAGAGGAGCTGGAAGTGCCATTGAACGCCTATCTGTTGGACTTCTTCAAGCACGGAGATGTGCACACAATCGAACGTGCCAACCGCGTTTCTCGTTCGGATATTTGGTTCCTCCTGAACGATTTCTCCCTCGTTTTGGCAACCATCATCACCAGCCTCATGAATTTCATGAAGATCAGCGAAGCTACCGATCTGGACATGCTCGAGGTCATGGGCAACATGGATGCTCACGAGGAGGCAGAGGATGATAAGGTTGCAGCGACTGAGACTGAGAGTACTGTCTCTGGTCCAAGCGTTGGCGGAGACAGTGCGGTCGGTCTCGTTGACCGCACTGCAACCAGCACTGGCAGACCGGCAGCTCCGACCAAGAAGCAAGCGAAGAATGCAGACAGCTGGGAGGACTTGGCTGGAAGCGAGGACGAAGACGATGTTCAGGCTGCGCTTGAGCACTCTGTTGGTGAGGAGGCTGAGGCTCTTGCACAAGAGCTGGCAAACAGTGCCTGGGATGGTGAAGGTGGTGAGGGTTTGAAGAACGTCCTGAAGGCTTTCCAAAAGTTGCACGCCGAGTTCACTGTCAAGTTCCGCGCCATGTGGGCTTAGATGTGGGCAAATGGATCAATAGAGTTAGATTGCAGAATAGAACAAGACTGCCGGGACGAATGCTACTGTTCTTGCAGGAACAGATGCCAAAAATGCAATTGTAGTGCTTTATATTTCAGCTATGGCGTCTCAACGCAGCACTTCCTATCGATGCCGCAGATGTGTCCCATTTAATGCACTCAGAAAGCTCCTCTAAACTGATCTGCCAGTCCTCCCAGCACACCTCTCCTCCTAGCCTGTTGTCCAGCATCCGTATCCACTCCCGTAGCCCTTCCAGCTTCGCCCTCCATTCTCCGCCTCAAATGCTCGTATCGCTCTCTTTGCTCACTTCCTCCTACCAGCCAAGCAGGTGCTCTCCACTTCGCAGCACCAGGCAAGATCTCCCTCCTGTACGCAAACCCCACAATCCACCCAACACCAGCCGCCAACGCCGAACCAGGAAGTTGCGACAGCGCAAGCTGCAAAGGCATAAGGTACGACGTGACCTTCGACGTGAGCATCAAACCCGACTCCTCAGCCGCATTATTGTTCGTCGACGTGGAAATGCGATATTTGTAAATATGCGGAATCGCAGCGTGGTACTGCGCCAAAAGCGCAAAGACGATCGGGGTAGGTCCAGCAGGTAAGTAATTGATCTTTCCGAAGCTCAAAGGCCGAATGACAGCAGCGAGGAGAATCGGCGGGAGGAGAGTATTGTAGATGAAAGTGGATAGAATGAAAGACTAGAATTCATCTTACCTGTCAGCGATGGGACTGACTGCGCGCGAAGGGACAGAAAAGACCGTACGGCGAATTTCCTGCTGCCCCAGAGTCGTTCAATGACTCGAAGATTGTAGAGTGTCATGGCTGCGAAGAGCACTTCGGTGCTGTTGGTGTAGCATAGCTGCCAGGTGAACAGTCGCCAGAATTGGTGGTAGTCGAAGAGGTGCGGGCGGACGTCGATCCAGAAGTAGTATTTTGTGTCAGTCAGCGTTGCGAGGAATGATGCGAGTACGGTGCCAATGACGAGGAGCCGCGAGATGGGGGCATTGGTGAAGCCGGAGGCGAGCATGATGTTGTGGACAGAGGGAAAGTCGCATTGTGGAACCGCCGGAAGAGGTCAGGTGTCTTTGCGGAGCAAGCGTGGAAGTGGCTGGAGCTTTCGTGGAATGAACCTCATCTTGCTGGCTTTTTGTCTTTCACTCTTGATCATTAACTACATCAATATCTTGCCAGCATGCTCCCATCGAATGGCATTGGACGCAACGTCCTCTAAGCAAGTCGAGATAGCGCAAGAACGCTATGATATGTCTGACCTTCGGTTCACGCGCATGCGCAGAACAACATTGTTTCTGCAGCCTCGATCGAGTTCTCACCAAGTCTCCAAGACAGGATTGCAGATTGCTGTGTCAAGAATTCTTGAGAAATATAATGAGTACAATTGACACTCTCATATCCAGCATCCATATTGTGTCAAAAACTCGCAGCTCGATCATGCTGCAGCTCCATACAGACACGTACAGGAATGAGAACAACAATCCAAGGCGTGTAGACCGCCTTCCTTCTTGCGTACCAGCGCACGACAAACGCTTGACTTAACGTCTAGCACCCCTGGCCAACAGCCTCCTTAGCTCCGCTTCAAACTCGCTACGCCGCTTCTGTGTTATAACTTCTGCTGACTCGCCCGTGTTCTTTCCATACCATCCATTACGCTTGCTGGGGTCGAAGTGCCAGTCACCGAGTTGCACCACGTCCACAGCGGCATCATAACGGCCCTGCGCATCCCCAATGGCCTCAAGGAAGAAGACGCCATCGCGATAGATCTGGCGAGCAAGGCTTGCTGAATCAAGATACCTGTCCAGGCTGCACTCGAAACGCAAAGACTGCAGATTGGTGCAACCTTGGAGCATGGTGAGCGCAGAAAAATTGTAGCCTTTCATGGTGCCTCTGCCTGAATCTTGTCAGTTGCTATCACTCTTTCACCAGCAAACTGTACTTACCAACTCCCCATCCGCGAATAGTCACGTCAGTCAAAAGCTCTCGATTCGATGGCCCAATACAGGCGAGAAAGATATGCAGCGCATTCGTATCCTCAAGTATCAGTTCCTGCTTGTAGAGGTAGCTGCTCGCCTCTTCACGGATCTGTCTATTGACTGCGAGCAGGTTCGGGACCAAAGAGCGCTCATCATTCTTCGGCTCCTCGCTTTCGTCCTTGTCATGTCCTTCGATTCTGCAGTCATAGTACCGATAACGATACTTCTTACCATAATGCCGAGATGTCTCAGCTACGTCAATTGCGCCACGAACAATGCCTCGTCGATAATTCTTCGTTCGAGCCACCAAGGTCAGTTCGCTAGGCTCCACCAGAGCGAACTCGTAGATTCGGTTGCGAAGTTCGGCGGAGAGGTCCAAGAAGCGGAATGGCTTGACTTTCTTATCCTTTCTCGGCTTTGCGAATGCTCTGGCGACTTTTGCTCTTTTGGTTTTGGAGGTACGCTGTGATATGTGAGTTATGGGGAACTCCCAGCAAGCGGTCGAACGAGAAAGCCGCGACACTTGCAATCATGAAACAACGAGCAGTGTTTGGATAAGCATGCAGGAAGGTAAATTGATATATTGCTCGAGCTCGTCCCTCAACGCAAACAAACGTACCTTCTTGCCGTAAGTCCCGTCGTCTTCGTCCTCATAGTCATAGATGTCCTCAGTCTGAGTTGTTTCATCTGCGTCAATGCCGTCTTCGTCGAAGTGTTCATCCTCGATGTAAGAGATGTGAGGACGCTTTCGGCTGCTCGTTCGAAGTGCTGCAGCATCTGCAGCCAACAACGTTGATGACATGTTGGGTTCAAACTGATTGAATTTTTTGAAAATCCCAGGCCTGGAGCGACAGATATAGAAGGCTGAGCTACAGTACCTGCGTAGGGTCTTTATGGACTGATCCTCCTGCTAGATATGTCTTGGCAACGCCGCTAGCGCGTTTCTGCCTAACACGTCCCGAGGCAGGAATCGCAGGATCAACCTGCCAAGTCGCATTCGCGTCCACGTCGTAACAGCACAGTCGTTAATGACCAATCACGGGAAACGATAGGCAAAAGAGGGATACGCATTACAGTATCGAGCGCCTGGCTCAATCCTTTGTCTATGTCGTCGCTTTCTGGTTCGAGTACGCTACTCGATGGAGCCTCGTGGCTGCAGGTTCGCTCAAGTCAATGCAATCAGAAATAGTGCTGTCTCGCAAGAGAACAGTCACTCCATGTCCTCCACTCAGTTGTTGAGCTTCGACTCGATGTGCTTCACAGCCTCTGGGAACTCCTTCCAGTCGTGCATGATGAAGTCAGCCTTGGTGACCTCCGTGAGCGTCTTCTCCATCTGCTTCTCCTTCTCGGCACCGTCCTCGAGACCGTAGATGCCCACGTAGCCGATCAGCGGAATACCAGCACGCATGCCAGCGGTGGCACCGGACTTGGAGTCCTCCACGGTGAGGCACTCTTCTGGCTTGACGCCGAGCTGCTTGCAGGCGTACAAGTAGATCTTGGGGTCTGGCTTGGATGATGGGCCGTCTGGCATGGAAGTGGCGGCAGAGAAGACGAGCTCATCCTGTCATAAGTGTCAGTCAACGAGGTCTACTGTTCTGATGTGTGATGAGGATGGTCATACCGAGAAGAAGCGCATCAGGTTGCACTTCTCGAGAGATGCAACAACGCGTGGCTTGGCGGAAGTCGACACGACGGACATTGGGTAGCCTTGAGCCTTGGCCCACTCGAGCTGCTCGGTGACGCCAGGACACTCGACACACTTCTCAGAGAGCTTGGCAGTGACACGGCCGAGCTCCATGTCGACGTACTTGTCGACTTCATCCTGTGGCATGGAGAAGTTGTGCTTCTTCTGAAGGCCGATGAGCATGTTGCGGAAGTTGTGGCCGACAAAGTCCTCGAGGAGGCTGTCGGTGGTGTAGGTGGCATCGACATTGTACTTCTTGAGCACTTCGTTGGTGAGGTCGGCACATGCCTCGAAGGCCAGACGCTCGGACTGGCAGAGGGTGTTGTCGCAGTCGAGGAGGATGTACTTGACCTGAGGAAGGCACGAGTTAGCTGAATGCCATTGGCGTGTTTGGGAGCGCCGACGAGGTGCCGTCAGGAATAGTGCGGCTCCAACTGCCCTGTCGCAGGATCGCTAGACGGCGGGAGCGTGTGAAGAGCGTGGAGTCTGCCAATGGCACGACGTGGAGAAGATGCTCGCCGCCGGCGACAAAAAGCTGGGGTTAGTGACGTACCTTGCCCATGTTGACGACGGTGTGGGTTTGATGAGTTTGAGCTTGTTGTTTGAGTGGATTGAGGTTGTGTGTGGTTGCAGTGACGGTTGGTTGTGTGTGTTGACAGGAAGAAGTGGAAGTGGAAGTGGAGGTTTGTTTGATGTGTTGGTGGAAGAAAAGGAATCTTGGAATTAATTCTTGATGAGCTGTTGCCTTGGTGGGGCAATAGACCCCTGTCACACTTCCGCGTGGTGGGGTAAGAAGGCGCGGCCCTTCACTTCCGCCTCTCGCTGGAAAGTGAGAATCGCGGGCAAGATCGAACTAGTGACGCCTTGACCGACAGTTCGTTGCTGCTAGCGAATTGGAATCCTTGCCTTGCACATATGGTCAATGGAGGCACAATGCCATTGAACATCGCGCGCTGTGCTTGACACTCGCGGCTGGCCAAGACATGCAACATTGGGCGGTGTAACAAATCTCGAACGTTTCGGCAAGGTCAGCAGGTGCTGCCACAGATCTCTCCACGGCCGTGCTTCACTTCGAGGCGCGTCACACTATTGCCCGCTGCAAAGCCTGCACATGTGCATAAGAACAGCTCTTCACCGTCCGTGTCAGGTCCTTTTGGGAGACACGGCACCGGTCACATGAATTCTGGATCCACATCTAGATTGAGTGCAACTAAAGCCAGCAAACGTTGCGGTGAGGCTAGTTGTGAGCGACTAGGCAACGCTCTATCGGCATGGTTGAGCCATTTGCGAACAATGATGGGATCGCTGAACCTTTATGGTCCAAAAGATCACTTCTCCAGCGCTGAGAGAGCACCATCGTCACTGACAACGCACTGTGAAGCCCACGCAGGCTTGGGGATCCGGTCACAGGAGCGAGTTGGACACGGGATTGAAATTCCAACTTATTCCGAACCCAGTGTTGTATTAAATTCGATGGACTGTGACATAGCCCCGAGGATTCGGCGTCGATTCACCAAGTCGATACAGTGAGCCTGTGGCATCCCAATGTGAACAAACATTGGAGGATGTGTTCTGCAGATAAGCGGGCGTGGGATTCGGATGTCTCAATCGGGCCGACCCCGCAATGACGTTCCGAGCTCCGAGCTAAGAGCAGCAGTCGTCAAGTTGTCAGTGCATATCCGTCTCCAGGTGCCAACCCCATAGACAGGAGAATAGCTATCCCAACCGGTGTTGCGCGACCTATCCATGTGATGGACACGAGATCGACGAGCCAAGCAAGTCTTTTGGGCTTGCCCAGAGAGTTGCGATTGGAGATATATCGGCACGTTTTCGCCTTGGACCTGCAGTGCACGATTCTGAACGGCTGGCGAGATACCCATACACAGGAGCATGGCTTTCGGAGTATACCGGAGGTCGACAGAGATGCAGACCTCATCGTTCCCTGGCTAAGCATCATGCTCACTTGCAAGGACCTCGCTTGCGAAATGCAGTCAGTCATGAAAGAGAAGTCGTTCTTGGAAAATCCCCAAACTACTACTTGGTCTCTGGAACTCGAAGGGAAACGAGGAGGGATGGCATTGGGACATACCACATGGCAGCGCATTCCGTGTCCGCCGAATCAAGTCCGCATCCTGCAAGCCAGCTATAATACCAAGAGAGGGTTCCAGTCGTGGGGCGATGGCGGTCCGCAGTAAGTGTCTCGATTGTCAAAGACATATTTCCTATCTCGCTGTGGGGACTGTGTGCAGCTCCTCCTTCAGGCATTTACAGACTGCGAAGCTTCGATCTGAGAACCCAGATGACACTGACCGATCACTAGTGGCATCACAAGCGGCCTCTATCAGACGTTGAATTTCATTCTTCACTGCGGACCCAGATTCAACCCCGGGTATCGCCTTCCAGCCAGAATGCACCTCGAAGAGCTGAGGATCAGCCTGGAAAGCCGCGAGGACGTCACACGCCAGTATGACGATGATCACTACATGTCCCTGTCCGATCGAGAGACCAATCCGGAAACTATGCTATATGCTTTAGGGAGCATTGTTGGTCAGATCGTAAACACCGGTGTCCTTAGAGGTTATGTCGACATGATCACTGTCTGCTCTGTCACAACGACAAGACACTCTCATGGACGCCGAGAGAAGTGAAAGGGGACGGCATTCCGGAGTACTGGCATCGGTATGGCTTTGAATGGGGCGAAAAGGCTTTTTCGAATGACTAGGCGGTCACGACTGCATGTACTGCAATTCGGTCTGACCCTTCGATCATGTCCACTTATGGGACGCGTTGGGAATGAGCTTTTGCAGCGTTTCGATATGGAGGACTTGGCCTTTGCGCTGCGCGTCGCGGATCTCGGCATTGTCGGCCATAGTGTGGTCGTGTCGCCGCTGATTGTCTCCATAGACGATAGTGTAGTCAGGCAGCTGTTCATCCGCAGAAATTTCAGACAGCGGCGTGATCTTGCAATGCTTGTTCACTGTCAGCAGTCCAATCGCACAAGGTGTCGCACTTGTGATACCTTTCCGATCACGGCACCTCTACCAATCTTCGCCTTCGCCTCTATCACAGTGCCATCGCCGACACTCTTGGCCTCAACCACGGCGCCGGCCTCGATTGTTACTTCATCTCCAACGATGACATTGCCTTCCCCTTCTAGCACTCCGACCGTGGTAGCCCCGCATATGATTGTGCGTTTGCCAATGTATACGATGCCACGCTCTGCCTTGATCTTGGAGTGCGGATGTAAGACGCTGTCCTCACACAGTTCCACGGTGTGCGTTCCGGTGATTTGCGCTTTCTCCGAAACCACGGCGGAAGGATGTATCTTGCAAGGCGGTCTGGTAAACAGCTCGGCTGGCACAGCAGCTGAAGTTCGCTTCGCAGAAGGCGCGGGTCGAGCGGCCATCGTCACAAACCTTGCACCGGGAGATGGCTCTCTGTAGAGCGAGACAGTGAGAGATGGATGAGCTGCGGTTCACGCGCGAAGCTTCATCTGGAGACACGCTAGCAGACGCCAGCACGTGGCATAACAGGGATGGCAAGATCATCAAGTTTTCTGGCAAGTGTATTTCACTGCGGCAATAATGCTAGCGAAAGCTACGTTCGCGTCTCGCAGGCCGCTACAATGCTTTGAAGCTCGACTTGCCACCAGCCCGCGTTGCTGCTGCTGCTGTTTATCATTGGAAATGGTGCAGCTCGAGTCATGCTAGACTAGCTTCCGCGGATCAAACGCGAATCCCGCTGATGATCCTCGTTACGAAGACACGCAATGCCACGCACATGGCAGAAGAATTTTCAGTGGATAGCAAGGTATTCGTGCGATAAGAACGCTCCTACTGTAGCCCATCGTCGAGGTGCATTCTGGAGACATACATACAACGTGAGCAATAGGCCCGAGCTCACGGCAGAGTTCGAAGCGGTCTCGAGGGCCTGAGTCACGTCCATGTACGGCGGCAGGCCCGCAACAACTCTGGCCGCGACACAATAATGTGAGGGCAGTGCTCCGCGCGTTGATGCTTCTACCTCCGTACTGTTCTACGCAATTTACGCGGCGAGCGAATTACTGCCGCACACAACATTCGTGCTTCTTTCCCTACCAATAGGCTCGGCGCTCTTGAGCTGGTCGGGCCCACTTTTCGAGATTGAGACTGATTCATTTTCCACTCTGTCACCGAGGTTGCATGACAAGACACGCTCCCAGCTTCCACGACATGGAGCAGCCGATAGGTCCATCGCCTCCATACTCTTCGCATGGACCGTCAACACATGGCGCTGGCGATGCCGCCAACGCAGCGGCGACAGCAACGGCAGCAGCAGCGTTGTCGCAAGATCACATCCCCACTCCAAATGCCACGAATTCACGCAAGCGGCGCGCGACCGGCGCGCCAGGGAGCAGAGGCGTCGCAAACCTGACGCCCGAGCAACTAGCGAAAAAGCGGGCGAACGACAGAGAGGCACAGAGAGCAATCAGAGAGCGGACGCGGAATACCATCGAGAGCCTCGAGCGGAGAATCAGAGAACTCGAAAGCCAGCAGCCCTTCCAAGACTTGCAGCGCGTAGTTCAGGAGAGGGACAGGGCACTGGCGGAATGCGAAGAGCTGCGTCGACGTCTGGGAGCAGTGGCAGGCATAGCAGGAGCAGCGTCACAGCAACCACATCCCAGCCTTAATGGTACGTTCACATTTGAGCAACTAATCGATCCATCCTTACTCACAGACGACGATATAGAGCTCGCGGCTTTGACGGCACAGCAGAGTCCTCTGCCGCCGCTGACCGTGCTCAATAATTCTAGCTACCCACAGGATCAAGGACATCGGTACAGCGAACAACCACAACAGAATCCTAATTTACATCCACAACTGAGATCTCCGGGCACAGAGTCTTCAGGGCAGACACCAACTGCTGGCCATTCGACCGATTCAGGTGGCTCTGCATACCACAACGGAGATTCTGAAGCCGGCCGGAACGCAGTGCACCAACGTTACTCTCAGTCGCCGAACGAAGGACGATATGAACAACGTAGGCAAACCTCAGCACAGCCGCATCATCACAGCAATGGGGATCGCTTGGGACTCAGCTATGTCCTGGACAATGCTCAGCAGTCCCACGAAACCACTGCCTCGCCACCAACAGAATCCTATCAACCTTCACGATCACCAGATTTGCCCGTTTATGCTCGCATCACCAATCAAGGGCCCCCTTCGTGCCCTCTAGACTCACTGCTCCTTGATGCCTTTCGAAGCCGCAGAAAGATGATGCAAGACGGTACATCCATGCAAGAGGCTATAGGGCCCGACTACCCGGCGTTCGCAGCAATGGTCGATCCTGGCGATGGCAGTCGACGTTCGGAATGTCACCAGGTTTCGGCACTTCTGATCGACATTCTCTCCAAATTTCCCGACGTTGCACAGCTACCGGAAAAGGTTGCTGTGCTTTACATCATGTTCCTGGTCTTGCGCTGGCTCATATGTCCCTGCGAAAAGTGCTATGAGCGCCTACCAGAGTGGTGTCGCCCGACTGCGGTGCAGCTGGAGAAAGCTCATGTAGCATGGGCAGACTATCTTCCTTGGTACGAATCTGAGCTTAAGACTGTGATGCACGAGTTTCGCTGCTGACCGTACGACAGGCCTTACATGCGCTCACAGATTGCGCTCCGCGAAGGTGAAGTGAAGTTTGAGGACTTCTTTGTTTCCTACACCACGACCTTGTCTCTGAACTGGCCGCTTCCTCACGACTGTGTGTTGCTAAGATCGGGCAACGACGGAGCAACGCTCGAATTGAATCCAGCTTTCGAGCATCATTTACGTGATCTGAATAATTGGAGTCTCGGGACCAGATTCGCTCAGACATTCCCTCTTTTGGTGGACAGTACAGTGCGCATCAAGGATGCATAGTATGCATCCGATCCACGACGATTCTCTTCTGCGGACGAGTATGGGTATGGACCGCTGAGCTCCTCATGGGATTCTGTGATGGGATGGCGAAATGAATGAATGATCTTTTTGTGAAATATTTATGGAGAGAACGGGTACAGCGAGGCGTTCAGTTGGACTATGGGCATAGGGGGGTATTGGGTCGCGTTATCGCCAGCGCTGCGGAGTACGTGAACACAGCACCGGTAGAGGGATAGGTCAGGGGTATCACAAGCGCGTTGGAGCAGTCATCGATTGACATCAGCGCTCAGATGCAGACCACGCGTTGAACTCAAGCTGCAACCTTAAGTGAACGAGCAAACAAGAACTGCCGATTAGGCAACTCCTAAGTGAATGGAGCGGCGGGAGTGCGCGTCTTGCCGAGAGCCCCTTCCGACGTTTGAAGCATTTGTGACGGAAAAGTGCAGTTGCGCGCTTCCTCGCACGTTTGTTCCAAAAACATCAACACACACACCCGCCGCCAAACGCGGTCACTCACCGATGAAGCACCGCGACATCATTGATCGCGGCTTGAGAAGAGTCTGCAGTGCTCTGTCGCTCTCCACCAGCGTCAAGCCTCGCACTGCGCGTTCACTGGACAGCAGTGCTTTGTCCCTCGACACCGGCTTCGTCCACGTCGGCGCCGACATCGAGTCGTCGCCAACAACCACCATGGGTAAGTCAAACAAGTTCGACTACTCGAACAGACCAAACAGCGGCGAGAAGTTGGGCGGCATTATTGGCAGAGATGTGGAAAAGGAGGTGGACAAGGTAGTCAAAGATGTAGAGAAGCAGGTGGTGAAGGCGCGCAAGTCCAGCATTGGAAGCAATGTCAGTAGCCTGAACTACAGCGCGATCAGCGAGGATGTGGTGCACTACCTGGATATCAAGGCTCCGGCGAAGCAACTTGGCGATGAAGGCGCTTGCGCGATGGCCACGCGGATGGCGACCGCTCTGACCAAACAGGTCACTGGCGCATCGGTTCTGCTGGAAGATCTGAACATCAGTGACAACGGCATCACTACAACCACGCTGGCGCAGCTCGCACCGGTCATCAAGGCCGCTCACTTGACCCTCAAGACCCTCAATCTTTCCAACAACAACATCCGAGTGGAGACCGACCAACAAGCCGACGAATGGGAGCTGTTTCTTCGATCTTTCAAGGATTGTTTCAAGCTCAGACGTCTTGATCTCTCTGGCAATGTCGATCTGGGCGCACGAGCAATGGAGATCTTGGCGAAAGTGCATTGCCATGAGCCACGTATCGATCCAGTGCTGGTTGGTGGCGGCGCTTCTGTCCGCTCCCTTAACATGGAAGAGGATCACGAGACAGCTGGGACGCCGACTAGTGCGGCTTTCAGCGATGCTATGGCAAAAGGCGGATTCGTGAAGCGCAGATGCGGATTGCGTGGTATCCCATACATCACCCTGACCAATGTCGGTCTCACGGATGCTGGCGCCTTGTGGCTGTCCTACGTGCTCGAGGATCATTACTACCCGATTCAGCTTATTGATGCAGTCAACGCTGCGCCCGCAAGCTCTGGCATTCGAACTTATGCTCAGGACTCTGCCTCTACTGGGCTCGACTGGGACGCACAGGAGACCGCGCTGGGCAAAGATGGTCTGCTCTTGCTGAAGAAGACCGAGATCTTTCGTAAACAGGTGATGCTCGACGACGGTAGTACGCTGGATTACTCTCCTGAAGACAGCAAGTCAGTCTTGCGTGCAAGCGCAGGTCATCGTCGAGCAAGTGTGCGTTCTAACACGGCTGCGGATGAAGGCGAGCACGGCTTTTCGGAGATCGAGAGTCTGCGCATGAAACTTCAGCGCCACATCATAGCCAACTCTGGTGTCTCCCAAGTGGAGCTGTGGCGCGCTGGTCTGCGCATCATTTCTTCATCGACGGTGCTCAACCGCTACAGAATCCATCAAGGCACGTACTACAAACTGCACACAGGTTGCAAGACCTCGAACTCCGGACCATCGCAGCTCAATGACGAACACGAACCGCCGCATTCATCGCGCAATGGCAATCACGGTGCCCGTCAAGGCACATATGCACAGACACTCACTGTTAACACAGGCGCAACGCCTGGTGAGCCGGAGTTCGCAATCACCGACGTCACCAACATCCCGACCACCCCGAAAATGATCTTCAAGCCACATCGCAAGGGCGCTTTTAGTGAAGGCAGCGACTTGCCGGCCGTGACTCAGAAGATGGACGGTCTCGTGGTGCGCGATGACAATCCGGAGCGTTTTGTGCGCTGGCAGGAGGACATGATTGAGAGAAAGGGAGGCATGATGGCTTTCCGCGATTCGACTGTTCCAACCCAGCTGCCACAGTATGTGTTTGAGTTGATCGTGGCCAGTACCGTCAACAAGCATGCGCTTGGCCTCTTCACGCAAGAGCAGTTCCGCGCTGCGTGTGCCTGGAGTCGTGATCGCTCCACATTGAAGATGAGAGAGTCGTGGGAGAGGTTGGCAAACAGCTCTCGGGTGCTGTCACTGCTGGAGCACAGTGGGTGCGTGGCTTACCAGGCAGACTAGGACTGTGCTGGCACGGAGCGATGCGTTCCCACAAGTCAGCAGAAATCACATGAGCAAGGGGACAAGAGAGGCATTGGTGTGCATACAGCTCACGCTGCGCGCTTCCATTCGAAGACCGCATGAGAAGCGCAGCAAGTGGGAAATGGTAAAAGCGCACAAAAAACTTGCAGCTCGAGAGGCACGGTGACAGTCGCAAGGACACATGCCTGTGCCATCAAGAGTAGATGCAAATGAGGACGTTCAACCATTGACATAGCTGCTCATTTCACTACTGTAGCATGCTATAACGAATGGCTTGAAGATTCCCACCAAAGGTATTACGCGTGTTTCCGTCCTGAAATTGAGCAGTTGCATCGTGCCAGAGACCAGGGCGAGAAAAAACTACAAGCCCGCCACGTGTGGCACGCGTGCTCATGACCGATACCATCACAACGGAACGACCAACGATAGGCTGTCACGCGGATTGTCACCAAGGACTGCTTGCTATTGCCTACAGCCGGAAGCAGAACGATGCTCCCGTGTCAACGAGCCGCGCTGATGTCCAGGACTTTCCCCGCCTGCTGGACTGATCTGGAACAATTCGGGGTACACATCAGGTTCGTGCACATAAAGGGGTAAGAGGTTGTGATCAAGGATCAAGTCTGCCTTGTGGACGAAGTATTTTCCTTTTGTGTGACGGCCAACAAACTTCCGTTTGGACTGTAGCCCTAGTTGCGAGTTTCCTGGCGGGATTTTTTTTGTGGATGACGAGGTTTCCAGGCTGGAATTCATCACAGTTTTTGGATGCTGGTGGGAAGAGCACTGATGTGTCCTGGAGGCTGGACCAGCATGCATACCATGCACTGTTACAGCTTTTGTGGAGATTTGTTCCTAGCAGACGATCATGTCTTCACGGGCTCTCAAAGCACATCACGTCGGTGTTTGTTCTCCGTCTCCGTCTCCGAAAATCAGAGGCCAGCAATCAGTACTAGTATCGCACACTTTCTCACCTTTCACTCACTGTACTGAGCATGAATTTTACTGGTAATTTGATTAGGAAAACAAATTTCATGAGCTATTTGGTTGGTCGACCCCTTTTAACCCTAGGGATCATCTCACCTGGGAACTCGCGCGTCAACAGATCCTGCGAGAATTAATGAATGGTTGACGTGTGTGTGTTTGGACTGTGAAGCTGGAGCATCCGCAAGTGCTGTTTCTTTGGCCGTTTGGCAGACACTCGTTGCTCGGTCGATATTGATCTTGATCTCCGTTGTGAAGTGGCCAGTGCTGCATTGCGAAACAAAAATTGAGTGCGAATTTGGAGATCCCTGCAGTTCGGAGTTCTGACAGGCATCACAGCCTTGGTGCAAATCGAGCAGTGCACGGGGACTTCAATCTACATGAGACGTGAAGAGTGCATTGTTGTGCTCCAGTTCGTGACTCCTAACTTCAAATGTTGTCGAAGGAAGTGACGATTTGGTCGATGATGGAAATTCTTGTTCTTGCTCAAAGGCTTGGTCGACTCTCGTACCAAGGCCGAGAATATGATTTGCCTTTGTGGGAAATGCATGTGATTGGATTGGACCAGGATTGAAGGCTGGCAGAGCACGAATCGGGTCATCTTCACGAGATGTAGACGGCATGAACGCGAGGGGTCGCGACGTCGTTCGCCGCCTCGCGAACCACTCCGTCAATGGCCGCAACTGCCTGGTTTTGTATGTGGCGAGTTTCAAGAAATGCACATTCGGCCTTCCAGTAAACGACTGAGAAATTGCCGATGCGGTTTCGAGGCAGCACTGGCCGTATAAAGGTACGCTCGGCAAGCATAGTAAGCGGAGCAGCGATCCGGGGCTGGCGAAAGCGTGACTGGGACCGGGCAGATACGAAAAGCAGGGCATCCCTCCGGAGATGCTGTCAGTCGACGTCGGACTTTGTCAAGAGGAGGCAGTCCAGCATGGATGTGCTCCTGTATCGCCTGGCCTGCCTTTCCCGCCGGTCGCTCAGCTGCCTGGTTAGACTGGCACTGGCACCACGGCCGCCGTGGTCCGGAGCGTGCGGAGGATGTCTGGTCTTAGTCAGTGGAGCTGAGCGATCACCTCGTCGAATGGCTGATCCGCGGCAGTCAGCAAGTAAGACAGAACGGGAAATTCATCAAGATGCGGCCGTGGATGGGTGTGAAGGCGCGCGCTGCACAACAGAGCCATTCCCTGCGTGCCCACGGGTTGCGTGGCAGGCAAAGCGCCGTGCTCGCCGTTAGGGCCTGATGCACTGTTCTTGGGGGGCCACAGAGTGGTGACAGAGGCCTGCTGGCCCGCTGGCTGCTGGTATGGGCGCGACGACTTTAATTCATCGGCAGCCCGCCGGCTGACGATCCCATGCCAAATCAGCGACGCTGGCATCGCGCAAATCCGGTCGCTGGCCGGGCACGAACGTCTTCGCTCGTTCTGGCGCGGGATCGCCTGCACGCGACGACCACCGGTCCTCCTTCACCTCGACTTCAAAGGACGCGTGCCGCTCTGCAGCTCAACCTCCTCCTCCAGAAGACGCACGACCGCAAGGCGCACAAGGAATTGTGGACGCTGGGCTGAAGAGGGCGGCTGTGGCGCCGGAAAGCCCTACCCACCCGGACGAGTACCCAATATCCTGGGGCCAGGATGCGCTTCATCAGACGTGGTTCTCAGCAAATTCGTCCCAGTAACAACGTCAACGATGCCGACATTGTCATCCAGATCGGGACGGTGAAGACGGGCCTCAAGGCATCCCAGCTGGTCGGCACCAACGTCCGCAGCCTTCGCTCTTCAAAAAGCGCCGCCGTTCTGAGAGGACACGGCGACTTCGATGATTCCTTCAACGAGGACGACGAGGACAAGGCACTCGAGATCTTTACACGAATGCAAGACTCCTTCTCCCCTACAAGAGCAGGGCCACAGCCATGTGGCCCATGGAGTCCTTACTCTCCTGATGATGCCTATCCTTACGCTGGCCAACCTAATCCGCTGCATTCCACCTCAAACGGCACAACCTTGCCTTATTCACACCGGGAACCATCTGCTGCAGCGCGTCCCGCGTATGCCATCCCTGGTCGTCACCCATATTACATGTCGCAACAAACCTCTGTTACGGGGGACATGGCGCCTCGCAGTCCCGCGCCTACCATTTTTGACAACGTTGCCGATCCACCTTCGCTTCACCGGCTGCCCAGTGCACCAGATCTGGGCGACGATAGACACCAACGGGCCACCAAAGTTCGGAGGTCGTCGACCAAGGCGCAGTCCAACTCGCGGGCTTTAGATCTGGTGCACTTGTTTCCTCAGCCAAAGCCGTCTGCTCCACCGCTTCCCTCACAACCACGGCCTTCGCAATCTCCATCAGACATGACCGACTTTCATTTCTCCAACGCGTCTGACCGCAAGCTGAAGAAGTTGAAAACTCCCACCAGCTCGAGGCCCGGCACCAGTGCAACGAGTTCTCGTGCGAGCAGGCCATTCGATGAAGATATCCTCGATCAGCACAAGACCAACGTACGTCGGCCTCCGAAAGGCATTCAAAACTGGTTCGATGCATATCTGGATGACGATGATGATGAAGAGGATCTCGACGACGACGTTGAAAAGCCCGAGCCGCAAGAGCTACCTGGCGACGATGTCCTTCCGCCTGCGTACAGTGGACCCCATCGCCATATGTCACGGGCGAGCGAAAAATCCGTCAGTGGGCCACGCACACCTCATGATTCCCATCACCCGCCTCCGCAGAGTGTGGAGAGCGCATTGGAGCGAGCAAAATTGAACCGCACGAGCCGATCAAGCAGATCTGACAGCATTCAGTCATCGCATTTGGGCAACCGGCGACATCATGCTCAGCCGAGACTTGCCGCATCCACACTTGACCAGGAGAGCATTCTGTCTTTGACGGAGTCAGAATTTGAAGAGGAGGATGACGAGGAGGAGTCGGATGAATACGACAGCGAAACGGAGGGCGGAGGCAGGGGACGTGGGAATCTACCTGCCATTCGAGATAGCATTTTCGACGACCGCAACATCATGATTGCAAGTGCATCTGCATTAGACGTTGTCCGGGTGTCGAGGCCGACTCAACTCAATGGGTCTCGGATCAGCCACCAAGAAGACAGCAAACGCAGCTCCGCCCGCTCATCATCGTCTTCACCAGAAGTCCATCGACGCGATGTGCCACCGCCACTGCCGTCTCAATCCCAACGACGTCCATCCTACCAAGTTACCGCCGATCCTATCGCTTTGCGACGCCTGAACGGGTTGAGCCTGGAATCAGCTTGTACGACAGGAACGACAGAGACAAGCAACACCGGCATGACTACGGAGACACGGAGCTCAGGTACTTCGTACCAAGATGCCGCTGATCGTTCTCCTCAAGACGCGCTACACATGGTCGCGATTACGGAAGAAGAGAAGATGCTGCTGGATCTAATGCGACAAAAACGAGTGGCGATGCAGCAGTTGTCATTTACGGAGGGTTATCAGCTGGCATTGCGAACAGAGCAACAACGACTGGCAAAGCGTACAGCAACCGCAGAGGAGCGTGCTCTGAAGCATTTGAAAAAGAAGGAGAGTGTCGAACAGAACCGCGCAAGCGAACTTACTAGTACTTCGTCACAGACCCCAACCCAGGATACTGAACTGCGTCGACAGCTAAGCTTCATTCGCAAGGAGCAGGTTGATGATCGCTTCCAGATGGAAAGGTTCCTAGACATGTCGCGACCTCCGGCGCCGCTATCTTCGCATCCGCCTTCGCCCAACGAGCAGCGGAAACCGAGAGCTCCCAGTGGCGAAGTCCTGCCAGCCACGCGGTATTCTCCCGCAACATCCACCCAGCCTACAGACAGCGCTGCTGACAAACCTGGCTATTTCTCAGCAGATGACTGTGAAACGGAATCTGTACGCCTGAGAGTCAAACAATTCATCTCGAGCAAAGGGGCGGTGCCTCCACTGAATTCTGGCATGAAGACAATGCGTCGGCATACCGTTCGCCAACCTTCCAGCGTGCCCCCTTCGCCAGTGATAGAGGAGGTGCAAGGCGCAATCCCTCCTCTTCCACCCAGGAGTCCGGAACGCAACGTATACCACTCACGCTCTGGATCTCAATTCACCGTGAGCACGCTCACCCACAAACCATCCTGTTCTTCGCTCCATGATGAGCCACGAGACAGATCTCCAGTCTCGTGCTTTAGCGGCCACCACTATTCTAGGCCATGCCCTCCCCATTCACCACACCCGTTGCCGGCAGATCTTGCACAGCACGACATGGTTCTCCTCCCGGCAAAGCCATATGTCCCTGGATCTGAAAGAGAGCTCTTGAAATCGACATCGCAACCTCAACTTACTGCTCAAGATCCTCCTCGTCTTTCTGTCAACTCAGCCTCACCATTCGCCAATCTCATCAACGCTGCTTCGCGTGTAAGCGTTCAGCACCCAGCAGTTTCTCCCCAGACCCCTCAATACGACTGGCCGCGCACCGCCTCTTCCACCGATCTCCGTCCTGCATCAGCTCATGGTGGAGTCCATCAAATCGAAATCACGAAAAATGAGAACGCACCGGGCAAACAAAAATCTCGAGACCCGCTGCCAAGATTGAACACCGTAGACTCGGTGCTCGATTCAAGAGCCAGCATGCTGAGCATAACTTCTGCTGGCGAAGAAGTCCTGAACGCCTGGGCAGAGCTCGGAGGCGGTCAGGACTGTTTGCAGACCAAGGTGAGAAGTAGTAAGATGCACTGAGGTCTGGGCTTGGTGTGCTGTTTGGCGGGACCATCGTCTTCGAAACTTTTGAGGAAGGCGCAAGCCGCCGCGACATACAACGCGCGCCTCGAGCGCGTCTTTCAATTCGAATCAAGATACCCAACTTGTATTATATATGATGGCGGTCTTTCCGTCTCAAAATTAACGTTTGTATATTCTGTGAAATAGGGACTGAAGCAAATGCAAGCTGTCCATTACTACTGTTGTTCTGTCTACTTCACGTTCTGTACTGCATCTGCTTCTCATTCGTCGTGGCTCAAAGTCCGCCTGGCTGGGTATCAGGTGGCAAGAGCGAACTTCTTTTCCGATGGCCTAAGTGCGTTGAATCTGGTGAAGCAGCGCGTTTCACGCCTGCCTTGTTCCCTACAAAATTGCTGCTCCAATCCCGCACTCTTCCCAGCTTGGCCATAGTCGGCGCCGAAAGACCGACGATGTCCTTTGACAACTTCACGATAGAGGTGTTGTTCCGCGTGATCCTCTTGCTGAGGCTCTGGCCATAGACGTTGCTTCTGAATGTGCCGAGAGCAATATTCGAAATCATAAGTAAGTCACCGATTCTCACCTCATCGAGGACTGCCTTGAGACTGGAGCGATCCTCAGACCTGGAAGGAGCGTTGGAGCGCTGGCTGTCTGTTGGCGGCAACCAGAAGCTGATGTTGAAGCCAGCTCTGGTTTCGTCACCGACCAGAACCTCGACGATATCCATCTCTGCAGCACGTTTGCGCAGCCTTACCGTGCGTGGTGGTTGGGTTGAGATGACACTGGCCAGAACGTTGATAGTCATGGTCTGTGGGTGAATAGAGTCAAGATGGCGTGCTGTAGGTATCCGCTTCAAGTCTGTGATGTATCCTGCAAAGTTCACGATCTGTTGCTGATGCTCGTCGGACGCATCCGTTGAGATCGAAGCCGTCGTCGGAAGTGATGTCGTGACATCTGAATTGAAGGAAAGTGCACTCACAAAAGTGGTCTCATCGTATGTGGAATAATCCAGAGGCGCTGAGGCAATCTGTGAAGAGTCGAGATTTTGTAGTGCTGCCAACGAGTATTCGAGAAATTTCACGTGCTCTTGGTCGGGCTGTTCTCTTGATGCATTGTTGAAAGACAAAAACTGTGTTGCTTCTGGTTGCTTCTCCGGTTCAGCGTCCTCGTTGAGAGGCACGTGTCGCCACTTTGCAATGGGATGAGATGCCGTTGCTTGTGTCTTAGTGTACAACGAGTTGTCGTCTTCACGATTCGCAAGCCCAAGATACCGCCGGATGCGAAGACATATTGCATGGTCATCGTCCTGCTCCGACCACTTCGACCAGTCTATTGCGGACGAATCAGGCGCTCCGGCCAGGAAGATGACACAACTTGACATAGCCGTGGTCGTGCCGCGCATACGCCATTCTGGTGCTGCCAGCTGTCGTATTCCTTCGATGTTTGCTAGAAACCACGCTTGCCTTTTTTACACGTCGTTCGGGGGTCGGATTTGGTGGACTCGGAGTTACGAGAGTCCGAGAGGTACATGCAGTGAGGTTGATAGCATATACTCTTGGTTCCCCATTCGTCAGCAGCAAGTGAATGAGTCTCGGGACACATTATTGCGATTGGAGTTGGAGTTTTCTTTTGTTCTTTGCAGGCAGCAATCGCGTCGCGCTTCGTGGTTTCCCGACCAGCCGCGTTCTATAAGTCATCGCGTCAACCCCGCGGAATTAGCGCCGTGGATCTTATAAGATTGATAACCCGCCCGCTTCGAAATATGTCACCAGGCGGCATGCTTCGTTCCATTTATCGCAGGGTCACGTCAGGCCGCGGCGACGAGGCCATCAAGCTGCGAGATGATGGTTTCTACACTGCCAAAGCTGCAGACGCTCTTTTCCCACGAACAACACCCGAGATCGACGGCGACGAGTGCCTGCACGACTGCGCGAGCTGCTCGATAGCGTACCCGAGGAAATTCGCCATTGATGAGGAAGACGAGCTCTATGGGTTTATCAACGGCTTCGCCAGACACCTCATTGTGGCCACTGGTGAGACGGATTGGGTGCGATCAGTGGAAGATGTCAAAGGCAGCGTCATGGAGGCCGTGGGCGAGCACATAGACAAGGTCGAAGGAGGGAAATTGATGCTGAGTGCCAGCAACATCCCACCGCCGGATATCTCAGGCAATCACGTTGGACCGTATGGTGTCGATCGACCGACGACAGTGTTGCTCATGCCCTCCTTCACCTACATCGAGAATGTCACACCCAAGCACGTTCCGGAGCTGATCAAGAGTGTCATAAACACTGCTCCGACTGCAACAATGCCACTCGATGCTGAGGAGACCCAAGACTCCAATGGCTCTGCCAAGGAAGAGGGCAATGGTGATGCACCACACACCCCTCTGCCATCTCCTCCAAAGGACCTTCCTGCTGGCCTATCTCTCCGCGCCTGTCCCCACAAGTACATCATCTTGCTCTGCTCACAAGCAACACGCGATGCCCGCTGCGGCCAATCCGCACCACTCCTCCGAAAAGAACTAGAACGACACCTGCGACCTCTTGGACTCTACAGAGATCTTCACGATGAACGGCCCGGTGGCGTGGGAATCTACTTCATCTCACATGTCGGCGGCCACAAGTACAGCGCAAACATGATGGTATATCGCCGAGCCGAACCGCGGCGAAATGTGCAACAGCAAATCAACGGCACCGCGAACGAAATTGAAGGGGAAGCTGCACAATGTATTTGGCTTGCCCGGATACGGCCGGAGGATTGCGAGAATGTGGTGAGGTTTACAGTACTGCAAGGCAAAGTTGTCAAACCAGAGCGCCAGTTGCGCGGTGGCTTCGATCGAGAGAAGGGACTTGTAAGCTGGTGACGTTAACGTCGAGTCGACTACTACCTAGAACAACTATGTGTAGCTTCACAGCACTCTCAAGCCTGAATGAACCCTGCTACATGAGTGCTTACGCTGCGATCGAGAGCCCTCCCCCGCTACGTCACGATACTGTCGAGAGAATTGTCTATCGCACGATGCATTACTCGATGCCCTAGATTGCCAATATAGCGACCTCGAAGCAAGTCTTCAGTAGTAATGAAACGTCCAATGCTCCAGCGAGCAACGCTTGTTACGACTCGTATGAGAAACGGCTTGCATGAACCATATTCAGACTTTCCAAAGTACCGCAGTGGCAGCAAGCTTTCTGCACCTTCACGACCCTGCGAACTATCTCCGACACGAACTTCAACCTATATTGCAATGAAACTATAACATGACGTTATCCGAACTGTGAACATGCGGAGTTGCGTCTGAAGATATGCAAGGGGGTCACCTCATCATAATCGCTTGAACATCGGATCTCAAAAATCTGGAACAATAGAAGTACAAAGTAGCAAAGTTTCGAATTCGCCGAAGAGGGCGGCGATTCATTGTCAATTCTATTCTGCCTAATCAACCGCCTGCTTTGATCACTCTCATATCCAAGCGAGCGTGACAATCCAATGCAGACAGTAGTAGGTCCGTCCTCATCTCTAATATCTTTACAGCAAACGCACAGTAAAGACTTCCTTCCATCGTGCCAGTCCAGATCGACGGCGAAATTTTTGGTGTTCCCCGTCTCCATGCCTCTTCCCTCGCGCCATTTGCAATGCATTCAAAGTGGTATAATGCTGATTAAACCAAGAAAGCGCTCATTTGAACGAGCCAGCTCGTGTTCCCCAGCTCCCTTGCCATGCAGTTTGTTGTCATCAATTCGTGAAACCATGCGTTAAGCTCGCTTTGCTTCGCTTCTCTGATGCCGTCCGTTATCGTCTGTTAAGCTCCGATAATGCCACCAATCTCGCCCGGTCCTGCCTCGTGGTGTTGGCTTGAGAAACATAATAAAGAGTGTTTGAAATAAAGTCGGGGTTCAGACTAGTAGCCAGTGATGGCTGGGCGTGTCAGGGTAGACGGGAGAAACCGCGAGAAGATGTTGGCTTTTTGTTTCTTTGCTGGTATGTCGGTGTGCTCGAGTGGCAAGCTGTGGCTGATGATCGGTCGCGCTTGCTTATACTGAAGCTCTGTGCTGGGCTCATTGTACGAAGACATGAGGCTTGCGGGGGACGATGAGCAAGCGTAAGAGTCAGCAGATACGGATGAGGCAGCAGAGTGGCTTCGAGTTGGTGGAGACAGCGAAGGCGTTCTCGATGGTAGTCGAGATGAGGAGTTCGATGAGCCAGGATAGTACATCGTTTGCTGATGTGTGTACTGGCCCATCGACCTAGGAGATTCGTAGTAGCGGGAAGCTTCCATTGCTGCCCGACTTTGTTGTTGGGCTGCAAAGATGAGCTGGCGCTGCTCGTATGCGGCCAGTTCCTCACGCTGGCGCTGCTTCTCTGCCTGGCGAATCTGATACGATCGGATTGGAGCAAGGAAAGGCTCGAGATGGTAGTAAAGGTCGTCCTCAGTGACCCTCAGATCCCATTCGAGCAAGCCCAGAAGCTGCTTCTCCATGAGATTGACTTCTGTTAGGCTGAAGCCGAAGTTGTCGAAGCCTCGTACGGCCGTATAACGAGCCCAGTGCTTGTTCTTCGGCGACGAGTCGTTGAGGTTCTTCGCGGCAAGGATAAGAGCGGCGAGGAAGATGCGGTGCGCGGTACATCGCATACCCTTGGCGACCGGAGGCAGACGCTGTTGTAGTCTGCCAAGATAGACCAGGGACGTCATTAGCGTCGGAACTTGGACATGTGACCTCTCCACGAGGGCCGTGATAAACAGTTCCAATGACGGAAGAGCTGGCTCGAAGTAGGCGGCGTTTTGCTGTTGTTGTGGAGGAGTGGTTGGAGGTGTGGGTGGAAGAGCCTTGTTGTTTGTCGAGACTGGCTGGCTGCCTTCGCATCGAATGACTTGTGCAGCCTTGATGGCAAGATAGCTGATCATATCTTGCGACACAGGTAGGTAGATGAAATGTTGCATCGCAGCAGCATTCTGCTCGGGTGTTGCGGGTGAGTATGCCATGATCGTTGCGTTGCTTGGTATGCCGTTGCTGGATCCAAATTTCCGGTGTTGTTGATGGTGCCAGTGGCGATTGATCCAAGAACTGACGATGCTATATCGTCGAGGGGAGTGGGCTTCTGCCTATTGTAGATAGTAACAATAGGTATCGTGAGGTCGAGTGATGGCTGCCTATCACAATGGGCAATTCACACGATGCGGTCGACCAGACAATGAAGAGCTCGTAAGCTCGTTGGCGACAATGGTGATTAGGATCCAGTTGCAGCCTGGCAAGAGCTCGAAGACCAAGATTATTAGGCAGATGGGAAGAGATCTAGGTGGGCCAGGATCCAGCGGTGTAGGGTACTTTTTGGTTTCGGGCAAAAACCGGGACGACGAAGCGTGCAAAGATTATAATTCGGTCCGGCCAGCGGACTAGGTGCTAGATATATCGAAAAATTCCAATCGGCCGTTGGCAGGTCGTGTGGTACTGATGGCTGCACAAGGCTGCGATGGCTATGCTGTACCTGACGGCGGGAAGAGGTTCAGTGCAGCGTGGCGTTTCCCTGCAAGCTGGGAAGGAGTGAAACTCGTGGGTGGTGAATTAGGTGTCGGCGAGAGGGCGAGCGATCGGTACAGATCGTTTGTGGTGAGGAGTGCTGGAAAACAACGCCTGACGAGCGGCGCGCTTTATTAGATACTTAGCCATTTCCTGCCACTGATACTCAATGCAGGAGGTCGCTGGCGCGGCAGGTTGGGTTTTTGGTATGTGACCCACAGGGACGTGGTGCGCGCATGATTGGCCGGGATCGCCAACCAGCTGAGGGCCAAGGCGCGTCGCCACCAAAGCTCCGAGCGAGTAATTTGACAGCACACGCTGCCCGCTTGTTTCAGTCATTACGTGCAGAGCGCCACGGCCTGCTCGCGTTTCACGTTAGCAAGCCAACGGCCATCGTAGACGCTGGCAGTGTCGATAGGCTCTCGAGCGAGAATTGCTCGTCGCAGCGCGTCGCCAAACCACCCGCCGACGCAGACACGACCGGGGCATGCCTCGCTCGCCGCAAGGACGCAGCTGTCGGCCAGCCCTGACGTCTCAGCGTCCGTGGTTGACAAAGAATCTGTACCGAAGATTGTAACGCGAGGGGTCTGCGCCGGACTGCGACTAGCAGATCTCCACGCTGCCACCTTGGGCCGACTCCAGCACCTTGTGACACGCGCTCTGGATGCGTATCTCTGGGGTCGACGACGTGATGACCTGCTGGGGATCTGGTGGCCTGGGGCCCGCTGGCGAGCTGGTGATCGCGCGTATCAGATAGCGAGACGTATACTCTGTCGCAGGCGAGGACAACACGCTCTCCGCAGTCGATGCCACGCTCTCTGACCGCCAGTCATCTCGTGCCGCTTGCTCGCAGAGCGATATATTGGTATCCACAGGCCGAGCGACTCAATCGCGGCCCACTGCTGCTGCGCGAGTGTGGCAAACAGTGACCGCAGCGCGTTTGCCAGCCCGCGGGGCGCACAACGGCATGCACGCGTCTCGAGTCGTGGACGCGTGCCTGAAGTAGAACATGGCCCCCATCAGGGCAGGGAGCTGTCAAGTCGGAGGAGTGATCGTCGCTGGGCGGACATCTCAGGCGAGTGGGTGACCTCGAAGGGAGAGTCGCAAAGCATGGGACCAGCCGAAAGGTTGGAACTCTAAAGCTTCTCGGCCACCATTTCTTCATAACGTCGACTGCCGACCTCCTGAGTGAGACAGGTCGTCGCATGCCAAAACGTGTTCCTACTGGTCGTGGCATCACATGTACTGGAGCCGTCTCGACCGTCGCGCCGTCCCTGTCATCGTGCGCAAGTCTATCACTTAGCCTTTGGGGTGCAGCTGTCGTCCGAAACCTGCATGTGCACATTCTCCCCCAAGCCTTGCGCAGTTCCTTGTGGTCCTGTCCAACACATGTGTGAAGCCTCGCAATAGTGATACGTCAAATTGCGAATCTCTCTCGAGCAAGACACGGCAAGCCTCCAACTCCAACTCGTCGCACAAAGACCCGCTGGTTCATCTCCGCCCACATTCAGCTTCACCCTCGCGCGGCGGGCTGGAGTTTGTGCATGATCGTCTCTGCTGGACCTGGCTTGGGAAAGTCGATCATCCACCCAGCATATCCTCAGCGGAAGTGCAAAGCTTCACGCCTTCGTGGCCCTTCGAGGAGCGGTGTACTTTGGTTGCGTGGCAATGTGACAGTGATGAGATTTCGCGTAGAGCATTGCGCATCTCCGGCCAGTACGCTACTCATTGTGTCGTCTTGCTATGTTTGTAGCTTGTGCCGTCTTTGTGCAAAGGGTCCAGGCGAGTCGCCGTGGTGGAGTGTTCGCGTTCAGCCTCGCGTGTCAGGAGTAGCCGCCTGCTCCAATTCTGGCCCTCATGAAACAGCCGCCTGTGCAACAGAAGTTGTCCCACTTCATGTGCATTCACACTTCATATCCTGATACTATGCAAACGGCGCTATCTATTTTGAACTTCGTAAACAATTCAGCAAGCGCCTGTACCATACCTGGTGTTGCAATCTTTGACTTTGGTCGTCATTTCTTCTCGTTTGGTTGACTCTTGAGACACGCCTTCATCAACGATAGTTGCTACAGCGCGTAAAACAACGTGGATTCGTTTGACCCACAAACTCGACGAAATGCGTCACTGATGGACAGACTTACTCGCAGCGTTCGAGCCAAACGTAAGACCCTTCGAGCGGTCTTGTACTTGGAACACGTTTACGTTGAAGACACATTAGCGAAAGTGATGCCATGGTGGCAGCTTCCGGATCGAACGGAGGTTGGATCGCTCTTTAGATGTATAATCGGGCACAACGCTATACTGCTAGCTCTTGCTCACAACGCAATTTCGTCAATGGTATCACAAAGTCTTGTTCTCGTCATAATATGCAGTGTCGACAAAAGTCCATCCCGCCAGCGAAGCCCAATCCGCAACTTATCGCTTCTTGGCTGTTCCAATATGCGTTGTATGTACTTTCTCGGCAAATTTCAGACTGCTCTTACTCTCTTGCCAATGAGCCTGCAATGGACTGAGATGCAGCAGCATGAGCGTTCGCGAGGATTTGCCTGCTGTGCTGCCGCCGAGAGAAGATTGGAGAAGATAAGTTAGCTGTACACGAGTTAGCTTGGACACATGTACATCTCACGCAACCGGGGACTTGCACTCACCTTGCTGTTTCTGTACGGAATATGGGCCTCACTGCTCGTCTTGCTGCCGAGAGCCGCGATGACGTCCCCGAGCGACGACAGAGATTTGTTGATTGCTTGTGTCTCTTTTCGGCGGCTGCCTTCAGCACCAGATTGCTTCAAGCGCTCACTTCCTGCCAAGTCTACGAGGTTGAGCACTCCTTCACTACTTTCGCCAGTCGCTGCGCAGGAACCCTTGAGCGTCAGAATAAACACGCTGTGGCTTCGAGAACTGCGCTCATTGGCTTTGGTGGCGGCAACCCGTCTATTGCTCGATGCAGTATTGAGAAGGTTCTCGACGGCCTTCTCAGTGTACGAATTGGTGGAGGAGTCGACTTCTTCGCCATCCACAGGTGCAGCGGGAGGCCAATTGCCGTCGTTGGGAGGCGGCGGCCATAGGCCTATCGTCGTCAAGTTGGAAACGGACGTCTTCCCAGTGGCGGGATCATGATGGATCTCATGCTTTTCTTTCGTCTTGCCACGCGAGGCAGTGGCAACGCCATCGCCTTCATCCCAAGACTTCGCATCGCCAAGCAGATCGTTCAAAGTCTCGTTGTACACTTCAACGAAGTTGGCTTCCACTGCATATTCCCAGCCTTTCGTCTTCAGCCGTTGCATCTCGGAGAGAAGCATTGTGATAGCGCTCGGTATGATGCCTCTAGGTCCGGTCATACCGTACGTCTTGCCGCTGCCTGTCTGACCATAGGAGAGGATGCTGACATTATACCCATCGACGACAGACTGTATCAGGTCTTGGCATTCAGCGAAGACATCTTCGTTCGGGGTTCCAGGGGTGAAAATTCGATCAAATACATAGAGCTGCTTTTCGTTTCGTGCCGTCCCCATAGCGGACTGTGTTGCGGGTGCGTGCACAACCATTTCTTTGCAGCCTTCCAATGAGTCTTGATCGAGGTATTCGACCTTGGCTGGATCGTCTTCTCCGTTCAGCAAGGGCCTCGTCCGGACGAACACACGAATGTTGCCCCGCAGCTCCAGGATTGTGTTGTTTAATTTACGCCGCAGAACCTCCTCCTTTCGGAGCGTCTCGACAGCTTCGTTCTTCTGCGCAATGGCTTCTTCCAATTTACCGTGCATGCTGGTGAACTCAAGACTTTGCGCTTCCTGGCTGCCCTCTAAGAACTTCGCCTTTTCGACCAAAGTATTCCTCTCCTGCTCCAGTGCCGCAATCCTGGTCTCGAAAGCAGATATCCGGCTCCTCAAAGTGATCTCGGTGGCTTTACTAGCCTCAAGCTGTTTTTGCATGTCTGCAGAAGAATCGCGCAGCTGCTGGACCTCTGACGCGGACTCGGTCGCTCTACTCTCTCCTGCCTGACGAAGCTCGTCCAGTTCTTTCTGCAGTGCTGCTTTCTCCTTCTCGTGATCTGCTCTGAGCTGCGCCATCTCCTCCCAACTCTGCGACGTGAGATCCGCCTCTTTATCACTCTGTTGCCGTTCCCACGTTCTGCGCGCTTCTTCCATCTCCCTCCTGAATTTGTCGGCTGACCTTTCTCTTTCTCGCTCGAATTGAATTTCCTGCTTTTCTTGCTTGAGTCGCAGATCTGCAAGCTCGCGTTCATGCTTCCTCTCCACGTCCAGCATTTCACGCTCGTGGTCTCGTCGCACTTGTCGCAGATCGGTCGAGGTCGTGTGAAGTTCGTTTCGCGTTCGTTCGAGATCGGTCGAAGTGATTCTGAGATCTGATTTCAACTCATTCTTCTCTTTCTCAAGCTCGGCGCATCGAGTCTTGAAGATCTCCAAAGACGTTTCGATCGAGTCTTTCGCGCCATTCGCGCTGTCCATTTCACCTTTGAGCTTCTGGAACATCCTTTCCATATGATCGAGTCGGTCGACGGTATCCCAGCCTCCTTTAACAGGGGTCAGCTTTTCTTTCGTCAAGAAAATAGGCATTTGTTCTCTGCGCTTGGTCTTTGTCACCGTAAGCGGTGTTTGAAGGCCAGCTGCCGATATGCTGTGTTTGTTGGGGGACGGGGAGCGCAGGTGCTGAGCAGACTGCGTGTGACGAAGGGTAGTGTTTGTAACGCAGGCGAATTTGGGGATCTTCGACGGCGATAGCTCTTCCTTGATACGCTCAAGCGAAGGGCGATGCCGCAGTGAAGAACGGGGTTTGGGGGTAAGGGAAAGGGTATTGAAAGCTGTGCTGAGTGATACTTCGCGAGAGGGTTTACTGGCACCAACAGGCCCTCCTTTGGTAATTGGTATTTGCTGTGGTGGTGCTGAGACTGAAGAAGCCGAGCTATTGCGTGACGTGGCCACGGAGCTGCCGTCGCTGCTGTCATCGCCAATGCTCGGAAAGTATGCGCCAGAGTGTTGAGACTTGGCCATCGCAGACTGGAACTGCGGTTCATGTTGTTGGACGTGTAGATTGCTCTTCGTGCGAGTCTTTTGGACATGTAGCGCATTTGAACTGAAGGAAAGCACGGGAGTACCTTTGCGTGAGGAAAGTGTCCCATCTCCATCGTCGTCTTCGTCGTATTGTGGTGCGGGTGTTTTGGTGACGCTGTAATTGCTGTTCGTGCGTGTTCCGGGTCCGAAGCCATTGGCCTGCCGACTAGGCGGACGCAATCCTCGAAGACTGCCCGTTGCCGATGGAATGCTCGCAGGGGCGCGATAAGAATTAGCGCCGCTCGTTGTTGGTCGCGTTCCGAAGCCACTCGATATGCTAGGCTTGTTGCGCAGAGTGTTCGCGGGCTCGCCAGCACGCTCAGCGAGCGTCTTACGCTTCATGGGCGGCTCGGGCACTGCTTGAAGTCAGCCGGATTGTACATATCTCCTCCTGTCGCGTCACGTACAGTTGCTGACTTTGTGCTTGCTCGGGACGATGGTACTAGGCGGTCGCATCGAACTGCCAATCCCACTGGCTCCATCCGCCGTACGCGCATTTTGCTCGCTCAGTGTCGTTTCTTGAAGGGCGCGTGTGCCAGCGAAGGCGGGTAGTTTGCTGGGAGGCTTCAATCCCGAGGGTCTGGTGTTTTCGAGCGCCTCCATCTTCGCATTGAACGGGTGGGACGCGCGGTCGATGGACCGCCTGGTACGTCAGGCAACTGTGTAAGTAAGTTGCATTAGATTCGAATGTCGCCGCACGGGTCGTTATGGGAAGCTGTGGACCAAAACACAACATGGGTCGTCGCGGCAGAGTTTCGGAAAGTCTGCCAGTCTGCCTGAGGCGCGAATCAGGGTTCCGAGCGGCTGCTCCCGCAAGTGCGTCACAGAGGAATTCAGGCGTTCGTCAAAATCGTCACATGAAAGAGACGTCTATCGCCCCGTTCTCGCTTTCCCGTCAGACGGCGGCATCATTGGCATCTGGACTTCGCTAGGGCGCTGAACCAAGTGCATGCGCCGCATGTGAAGAGCCAGCCCCATCACCACTTCGGCACTTTATTTAGCCTTCTTTCCTTCCTCAATGTTCGACCTCACGCGCCTGACATCTTGATCGCCCGACTGCCTGGTCGAACACTGCTACGATCGCGCAACACACGACCACCCGAATTCAAGGCCCAGCAACATGGAGAAGTATGGTCAATATCGAGACAAAGGCAGTGGCATAGCACCATTCTTTCCGGTTGCACCTCCATCCAGCAACCCGCTGATTGCGCCGTATCATGTGGTTTGTCAGCACCAACTGTCCTCCTACGAGAACGAGAGAACACTAAGTTTCTGCACTTTAGTTTCTGTTCTTCTTGAGGCTGCCGTTCTTCATATTTGCTTGGGCTGTCTGGCTACTGATTGTCCAATGGGCGCCGGCTGGGAGTATCCTACGCAAAGCCAATTTATGGTGCATTATCGGAGTTCCAGGAATCTGGTTCGTCGACATCCGAGTTGATGGAGTACATCGAGGGTGAGCTTCTATCATGGCACCAACGTCACGCCACGTGGGCCTGGTAGCTGACATGTACTCAGCTCCTTGGGGAAAACTCTAGCCAAGCTTCCGACTCCCGGCTCGATCATCGCGGCTTCGTACACATCACCCATCGATATCGTCTACTTGGCTGCCATCTTCGACCCGATTTTTGTACAAAGCTTTCCGGGAACGACCAAAGTCAAGGCAGTCTCCCTCGTCTCTGCTGTGCTATCATGCTTTGTTCTGAACCCATCTTCGGATGGCAGCGTCGAGCTGTCCCGACTCATGGCGGAGAATCCTAGCAGGACTTTCGTTGTTTTCCCGGAGGGCACGACCAGCAACGGGCGAGGCATATTACGCCCGACTCCTTCGCTCCTGTCCGCCGGCCGGGCTACCAGCATCTTTCCAGTGTCGCTCAAGTACACCCCGTCGGACATAGTAACGCCGATTCCAGGCTGGACCGAAGCCTTACGATTCCTGTGGAAACTCAGCTCTCGGCAGACTCACTGCATACGTGTGCGCGTGGGATTACCCCTTACCATCGCCCAAGTACAGCGAGACGAGAATGGCAGCAGGGAAGCACGGCCGCGCCAGCAAAGTGGCTATGACACTAATTTCTTCGACAGCTTGAAAGCAGCAGAAACCTCTGCAGCGCATGGAGAGCCAACAGAATCGGAACAAAAGGTGCTTGATGTTATTGTGGACCAGCTCGCTCGGCTTGGTCGCGTCAAAACTTTGGGCCTGGGCATCGAGGAGAAGATCGATTTTGTGAATGCTTGGACTGGCAAAACTACCAAATCCAAGAAGCGTAGGTAGTGGAGACATATGTTGCCGAGGCCCGCGAAAAAGCATCGCCTAAAACGCATGCAAGCTATGAGATACTGCTGATAACGATGTATAGTTCAGAATACCCAAATAACGATTGAAGTTGCACAGTCACTGGAGAAGTTTCTTATTGCACTCGCACTAACACACTACGCTATCAACGTGCCACTGCTTGCCTGTCAACGCTACACACGTACTTACTCTGCGCCTTAGAAATAGCCTCCCGGATACATGCCTCTCATACCGGCCCTGCTCGTTGGATTCTGCATTCCCACTAAAAGAGATCGAAAGAGTAAGCATGTTGATCAAGACAGCGCTCAATGTCCAGCCATGATAGGAAACAGAACCAAGTGCTTCAATTCAATATGGAAGTTTGTACTTACTCCACTGATTTCGCCAGTTATCAGCTACAGCCGGACCTGCTTGGCCCCATCCACCATGCCAGGCCACTGTCGCCATGGGATCGCTGGCGTAATTCACTCCGTACTGCGACTCGAGTGCCTTATGCATGCGGAAGTCCATTAGGTCTTCTGCGCGACCTTGACCCATGCGAGTAGGCACATAGGCGGGGATCGGGCTCAAGCCACCATAACCTGGTAATGGAAACATGTTTCTGTGAGTAAGCGCTGCTGCTGCGTTGCGGATGGTAAGTCGCAGGAAGATGCGTCCCAATGGAGTGCATGTCCATCGTTACTGGCCGCAGTTTTGTACAGTTCCAGTTACTTTGTTCACAGCACATTGAGGCAAGTCTCAAATCATGAAGAATGCGATACAGTGCCAACAAGAAACAATCCTAATAGTACACGATTACCAACATCATTAACTCATAAACATCATAGCATGAAAGCACATCAATCATCCAAGCCGCGCATTCAATATTGCTTCACCACACTATTCCCAGTCTTCTGACTCCAAATCCCCTCCCGTCCATACGTGTCAATCCACGGCTTATCGCCCTTCACACAGAAAACATACCCCGGCGAATTCCTCGGAACCCCACCACTCTTCTTCCAAATCTTCTCCATCTCCTCCCTCTTCTTCGTCATATTCTTCCCGTCTCGGATTCGCTTCTTCTCGAAGAATACATAACCCGCATAAAACACAGGATTATGTCCTGCACCTTTGGGGCCTGTAGCTTTGAGGAAACGATCCATTTGACGGACTTCGATTTTGGTTTCGGGCATGAGTTCGTGAGTTCGCGCGCGAAAGCTGTTTTGGCGATTTTGGTGTGCGAGAGGTATTGTTTGATTTGTTTGCGGACGTCGGCGGCCGTGAGGTAGATGGGGACTGTTTCGTCTTCTTCTCCCGGGAGGTGGATGGTGGAGAGGTCTGCGGCTGTGGGGCCTTTGGGTTGGGCTTTTTTGCTCTTGGGTTGGGATTGAGGTGAAGAGGAGGATTTGGACGATTTTGCTGACTTCGATGATTTGGGGGACTCCTTTTGGTGAGCGTTCTCATCGTTGGACTTGATCAGCTCTGTTGCTGCATTATCGGCGCGAGCTAATGCTGCGTCCACGTTTGGGTTGCGTTCTGATAAGACCATCTTGGCAGTGGATACTTGTGGCTGAGAATGAGGAATTGTTCAATGGGTCAAAGGTGTCAAGAATGTCAAGATTCGAACAGCAAAAACCAACAGGGCAGGAGGAAAGGAGACGACATTTGTGTTGATCGAGACATTGGTTACATCACACTACGCGAACGATCAACGCGCCTCGCTGGTGTCACTGGACCCTGCGCGATCAGGTCTGTGAAACGAAGAAACGTGATCAGCAATGGACTGGCATCGACCTCATCAACATACCATCAACACGGAAAGGACATCCAATTCATGGATAATCTTCATATTCGTCGTAATGCTAAGGTATCTAAGACCTAGGCTCATACTGCTCGCCAGCGTCATCAAGAATCTTGCGACTGTGCTCCTTGGCCTCCTCAGAAGTATCTGTGCAACGTTAGCATGGAAGATCAATAAAACATTATGCATCACATTCGAACGTACTGGGATTGCTCAAGGTCGCTTTGTGGCCTCCTAGAATCTGCTGGTCGCCGCCGAGACCAGCGCCTGGGGCATCATCTCCCTGCTTGCCGTAGAAAGCATCTTCTCCGCCAAGACGCTCAAGCTCTTTCCTGCTGTTCTCTTTGGATTCCTCAGAGGTGTCTATCAAGTGTCAATAGTATTCGAATCAATTTGGGGGGGTGTGTCTTCATACTAGGGTTGCTGAGGTTGGCCTTGTGCCCTGAGGCAATGTTGCTCTTATCTTCGACGGTAGACATGATTGTGGTTGTGATTGATGTTTGGAGAGTGATGAAATGGAGTGAGATTCTGTGTGAATGATCTGGATCGTAGGGAGATGCTATATAATGGTCTAACACCCAATGTCCCTTTCATCAATGTCAGCTCGGTGATGCAAACCGTCGTCAACAACGTCTCCAAGCACATCTTCAATGACGCGCTGACCCCATGAAATTGCTTTAGGATTCGATCTGAATACCCTTGAACAAGAGTGCCACAACCGTGCAACAAGAGGGTTCGAGTCGACCGGATGTGATGATTCGTTTCCCCGTATGCGGCTGGTCGTTCAGGTGCAAGTGTCGTATCCGCAACCATGCTACAACGTAAACATTTCGCAATAGACTTCTTGGACGGTTGTTGTATCGAGCGTGGAAGAAGGCACCATGCCGTTCTGTCGCGATTTACTTTGCACTTTTGTGATCTATCGAGAGACGATTATGCTCCGGCGGCAGAGGTAGTGCGTCAGATTGACACCTTGATGCATGAATCGTGTCGAACATCATTCTTGGCATAAAATCGTTCTGTCTGACCGCTGAACGCGCCTACCTCACAAGTACATGTAAGATCATTCTCACTGTAATCGTTGATACTATAACATACATTTCATAACCACTTTTTTGATTTTGCAATCGTCTCATTGCTCCCCAGCGTCTTCGAATTCGACAAGTGCTGTGCCAGCTTTACACATATCGCCAGCCTTATGCACGACCTTGCTCACTTTTCCGTCCTGCGGACTCCTGATCACAGTCTCCATCTTCATACTTTCAATAATGACCAAGGCTTGGTTCTTCTTGACTTCCTGGCCCTCTTTGACTTCGACTCTGAGTACTTTGCATGGCATTGGTGCGAGTACAGAGTTTTCTGTTGATTTCATACCAAGAGCAGCTTGTAGGAATGCAGGGATAGCCAGGTGAAGGCGGTATTGGGAACCTTGTTGGAAGAGGGTGAGCTGGTTGGTTTCGGGGTCTCGGATGATCGTTGTTGAGAGACGGGTGTGAGGGTAGAATGATGATAGTGAACCACCTGTTGCGGAATATGGAGTGTATCGTGATGTGGTAGTGTACGAGTCGTTGTTGACTGTGACATTGTACGTCTCTGGGGATGTCTTGAGAACCTTTACAGCAACGGGCTCGTTGGTAACTTGTGGGTCTGACGATGTTTCCACAAGCTTGAATTCCCGTGGTTGCGGTGCGAAGCCAAAGCCGATGCTTTGCAAAGGTTGTACAGGGGCGGTGGGTGTCCCGCGATGTGATTGTTCAGCTTCGTATAGACCGATAGCTGCCTGAGCATAGACTTCATGTGGTATTTGTCGCTTGGCAAACAACTCATCAGCGTGCTTGGGGATGTAGCCGGTCTCAACCTCTCCGGCGATGAAGTCGGGACTTTGACAGCACTTCTTGACGAAGTCAATATTGGTGATAGGACCTGCAACTTCGTACTCTTCGAGTGCAGCCACCATCTTTTGGAGCGCAGCCTTTCTGTCCGAACCATGTACGATGAGCTTAGAGATCATAGGATCGTAGTGACTCGACACTTCATCACCCTCCACAAAGCCGGCATCTATTCGGACGGATTCGGTAATCGGCGGTGTTCGTAGGTGCAGCAGTTTACCAGTCGAAGGTATGAAGTTCATGCTCGGGTCTTCGGCATAGATACGGGCCTCGATCGCATGCCCGCCTGCCTTGATTCTTTCGTGAACTTCTTCCTGAGTCAATGGGAGCTTGTCGCCCTCAGCAACGAGAATTTGCCATCGCACAAGATCTTGTCCGGAAACCATCTCAGATACAGGATGTTCCACCTGGAGTCTCGTGTTCATTTCCATGAAGAAGAATTCGCCACTGTCGTTGTCAAAGATGAATTCAACTGTGCCAGCACCTTCGTAGCCGACCGCCAATGCCGCTTGTCTTGCCTTCTCCCACAGATCCTGCCTAATGTCTTCGGCCAGGTTGGGCGCTGGGGATTCTTCCAAAACTTTCTGGTGTCGTCGTTGAATACTGCAATCACGCTCACCCAGCGCAACACAGTTACCGTGTCTATCCGCGAAGACCTGCACTTCGATGTGTCGCGGTGTTGTAATGTATTTCTCGACGAGCATCACATCATCTCCGAAACTTGACCTGGCTTCACTCTTGGCAGAATCAAGCTGTTGTTGGAATTCGTCCTGTTTCATCACGATGCGCATGCCCTTTCCACCGCCACCCTTCACAGCCTTGATCAGAACCGGGTAGCCCATCTTGTCTGCCTCTGCCTCCAAAAATTTAGGATCCTGATTTGTGCCATGGTATCCGGGAATACAGGGAACGCCAGCTTCGGTCATGATCTCCTTGCTTCGAGACTTGTCGCCCATGGCTTCGATGGCTTTATGAGGTGGCCCAATAAACTTGATGCCGGCATCAGTACATGCTTTGGCAAAGTCTGCATTTTCAGACAGAAAGCCGTAGCCTGGGTGGATGGCTTGACAGCCGTTCTCTTTTGCGACTTCGATGATTCGTGAGCCATTTAGATATTGGTCTGTGGAGCCTAGGTTGACAGCGAAAGGAGAGCTCAACGCGTGCTGACTGTGGCGATCTGGATCTGTATATAGTGTTGTCGTCCTGATGCCGTACTGTGCTGCTGTCCGACCAACGCGCAGGGCGATTTCACCACGATTTGCTATGAGGATCGACTTCAATGGCTCTGGAGACTCTGTTGATGTGGATTGCCATCTCCGCACTTGCTGTGGCAGTGTCGTCGACGGCCTGACGGCGCGTGATCTGGTGATGGAGCGCATACTGTGTGAAAATTGTGCAAGGCGATCAGACCTTTGCACACGAGGCCAACAGAGGCTTTTACATGCTCGCGTGAAGTCAAGAGCAATGGTGGTCTTGAGCCGAGCTGTCGGCTACCCTCGGCCGGTTCTGTGTTTGCGGGCCTCCACAAATGGATGGCCAAAACCCTGCGCGTGCAAGGGACGCGTTTGTCTAAATATTTGGTGCGGGAAGGCTGGCGACAACGATGTGGTTGTGGTCGTCTGGGACAATCTCCACGCGCTGCTGCAGCTGGGCGAGCAGCACGTCGTAGCACCGCGGCCAGCACGCTCTGCTCTCGCCTCTGCCTCCATTGTCAGTCGCAGGTGAGATGTTCCGTGGCCAATAATGATGCGGTGCCCTGCATGACGCTGTTGCCCTCGAGGCTGCACGTCCACCTCACAGCTCCAGCTCCAGTACTTCCAGCTCACTTCCCGCGCACTCACGACCCCAACACTCGCACCGCCCGCGTCACCGTGTTTGGTTTGCGCGCATGGGCCACTGCGTCTGGACTCTGCTTGCATTTGCGTCAGCTACCCATACTTAGCATCGCATTCTCCCACATCTTTCGCGCGAGGGAGCAGCCATGGACGACTTCGACGATGGCGACTACCTGGACATGGACAACGATTGGATATATGTCGAAGACGAGTACGACTTGGCAGTATGTATCCGCTCCCCTCCGACTGCAACTTGCCGCTTGTGCCCTCCTCTCGGTAGCAGTCCTATGACACTATCGAATGAAAGCTGAGACAATGGCAGGACGAGTTAGCAGAGAACGCAATCCCCGATCCTGGATACATGGGCACTTCAGCTGAGATCGCGATGGAGAGCTACGAATTCGACTTTTATGGCTACCAAGAAGACCTCGAATATGGCGAAGATCCATACTGGGACGCCGCGGATCCCAGAGCTGCACATGTCCGTCCGGGCAAGGTCGCGAAAGCCACCCGAACAGGCGCTAAGCGCAAGCGGAATAACGAATCGACACCCTCCAGCAAGAGACAAAAACTTGCACCGATTGCCCGCGAGGCCCAGCCTGTAATTTTTCGCAGCAGATCTGCGCGGCAAGATGCTCAGAGTCGTACAGCTCCCACAGTAAAGGGCGCGAAAACGTTCGCGTTATTGCCCGATTGGCGAGAAAGATTTAAAGATGCCGACGGAGTGGTAAAGAACAAGCGAATGCCCGCTGCCATGGCGAAGGCGGCATATGAGGAGGCGCCTGATGAAAATGGCGAAGAAGAAGCTGAAGAGGCCGAAGAAGCCCCGACAGACGCAGCTGAAATGCAAGAGGAAGAGGAAGAAGAAGAATGGGAAAGCGACGAGGAAGAAGGTACAGAAGGAGGCGGGATTGACATTGATCCGGATACATTGAAAGCGATTTTGGCACAGAGGCTAGCAGAAGCTGGTATCACTGGGGACGAGAAGGCTTCTTTCCTGGAATCCTTCAACGACATGCTGTCCGGTGAAGGCAAGGGCGAAGCAGCAGCAACACTGTTGGAGAAAGCTCAGTCTGATTCTGGTCGCAAGAGGAAAGCAGATTCCGCGGTCGGCCTGGAGCCGGAGCAGAAGAAAGGAAGGAACGGAAAAGGCGGGGCTTGAGGATGTACGAGAGCATGACAGGCGGACGGTCTGCTTGTCACAGGATCATGTTTGTGATAGCGTTCTAGCGGCAGGCGTTCGGTGGATAATAGCATTGGCCGTATTAGACCCTGCCTTGTAGATGACTTGGTAGGCAGGGTGGAATGGAAAAAATGGCATGGGTGGGACGACATATTACGTGCTCTGTTTAAAGGCTTGTTCTGGCGCGCTGGCACTCTAACGTGTCTGCGAAATTTTAGAGTATTTAGCCGCAATGGACAGAAGTAAGACCACACGACTCGTTGAGTGCTGGTTTCCTGTCTTTCCTAATGCGTGCCCAACGCTGCTACCACTGAGAAGCTCGGGATTCTTCATTGCAACCAGGCTGGAACATGTCTCCTCGTGGGGACGAAATGGTCTCCATGCGCCTTTCAAGCCCTGTCATTCAACAGTTTCTGACCTGCTTCGGGCTTGCGAAAGACAATCCGAGAACGAGACAAGGCACATAACTCTCATCGACTTCGTTCCTGTCGCTGCTTCCACCACAGCCAGACTTCCACACATTTGACGAACATCCAAGTGTAAGCCGACTGCAACACCTTGATGACGGTGCGGCACATCTCACAGCCCTCCCATATCGGTCTGCCAAACAGGCGGGCATTGATCAGATCCAGTACCTCCAAGACCAAGTAAAGGCACATGATGCCCCACCAAAATCCATTTGACGCATGTTTCCAAGCCCTGAGCAGCCCGACCAGGATCGCGGCGTCAATGCGGAGGTAGGGTGGCATTGTTTCCCGAGTCCAGTATGGGTCCCGATAGAATGGGGTTCGCACGTAGAGCCAGCTTCGATCTGGGTCCGAGGTTGGCGTGATGTGAGGTTCAGAAGATTTTGGCTGGGCGTCGTTATGATATGACCTGCTCATTGATCGCAGAGCATGAGTGTAGCTCTCCCGTGATGCCAAAGGTCTCGATCCGAGACCAAGCTTCCTTGATGTGTTGAAGACCGGTCTTCCAGCAGAAGCAATCTACACCTCCGCCTTCCCAGCCTTCCTCACTCCAAAGAAATAGTTCCCCCAATCCTCACTCCCATCCACCACTTTCCACCCCAAACCCGGCACATACACCACACCCATCTGCTGCCACCCATCACCACCCACCAACACATCCGACTCCTGCCTCCCTCTGGCCCACTCCCTCATCTCCCCAGGATTGATATACTGACTCCACTCATGCGTCCCCCTCGGCACCATCCTCAAAACCTCCTCAGCAACAAACTTAGTCGTAAACCAACTCGTCCCCGTTCTCGCAATCGTACTCCCCACAAGCCATCCTCCAGGCTTCAAATGCCTCAATACATTCTCCAAAAACGGCGCCGGTTTTTGAATATGCTCGATCACTTCAAACACACTTATGACATCAAAGCCCTCCTCTTCCTTCTCCGGAAACGGAAGCTCCTCAATCGCGATATTCTTATACGTCAATCGTCCTGGTTCCATGAGCAAAGGATCCTGTCTGGCATGCCCCTTCGCGACTCGAATACATTCAGGCGTAGGATCGATGGCAAGGACACTCTTCGCCATTGCTGATCGCGCAGCACTCTCAGCGAAAATCCCACCTCCGCAGCCGATATCAAGGAACTTCAATTTCTTTTGCCCACTCTGTATCTCCGGATAATCGAGGTCGCGGGAGAGGCATTTTCGTATGAATTGGTGTCGCAATGGGTTCATGAGATGTAGGAGTCGCGAAGAGCCGTGTGGATCCCACCATGACGAGGCGAGGGTGTTGAAGTGGGAGACCTCGGTCGCGTTGACGGAGCTTTGCGAAGATGAGGAGGGTGCGGCAGAGGCATTAGTGTTGTATGTGGCGTATGAGCGCATTGGAGTGATGTTTGCGAAGTGCGTGGCGGAGACGGCGAGGGAGCGCTGGAGGGCGATTGTTCGGAGAGGCGGTGGAAGAGCCAGCAGGCGACGGGCCATATTGTTGGACGCCATGACGGCAATGGGAGTTGGTGGTGTGTGAGCTGATCGAGGTCGACTAATAAGTTGCAATTGGAAGTTGAGCTGTAGGGTAGAAGCTCGGGCGGAAACATGCCGCTGCCGCAATGGTGAACGGGAGCGACTGCACGTGTCGTTCTTATCAACTCCTTTTCTTCTCTTCAGCTACAAAAGCTACATTTCACAGGCCAGAGGGCCATTCTCCACTCGCACAAGAATCAAACATCCTCATCTCGCTGATCTCTTCCCAAGTATCCGCATCTTCTTGCTTCACGAACTCATTCGCCCTCCACAGACACAACAATCATGACATCGTAGCCTTCGCAAAAGCCTTCATGGGGACTAGCAATGTACTCTCTCCTGGACACGAGGCTGCCCGTGTCTAGCCACTGTTGTGTCGACGCTGAGGATCCGGATCCTCGAGCAGCAGCGTAATACATAGTATGTCTGCCGGGCATGAGTGTGACTTTAAGTCCCACCTGCATCGAGTCGCACAAAGCGACTCGCAAGAGGCTTCTGACCTTGCCATCCCAGCGAAGGGCATTAGTTATGGGACCCAAATGTAGCTATATGCTAAGCATGCGTGGTGTTATGGCCTGGAGCCGAGGCTTCTCTGCCGGGCTTGCATATGATGAGAGCCGTCGCGCAGTCGATTTTGGTGGCAGATGAGCCGAAGTGCTTTCGCCGCAGACCTCCGTCGTAACCAGTCGCAACCGCATGGGTCCCGTGGAATTTTCTTGATAGCATCACCTGGCATCGAATGATGCCCAATGATTGCTGACTGTAGGCTCATCTCTGGCAGTAGAGCTCAACCTCGCCCAGCCCTCCAATACCTTCGCCGCGTTGCTCCTTCCATGTTTCGAAGGCGGTCTGTACATCTTCGTCGCTCTGCATACTCACGAGATCTTCCTCGTCAAGGTACTTGAGCTTCACATGGTTCTCCTTGGGACCACGATCGCCTAGGCTCAGGTTGGTTGATCGCTGAAGCTTCGCATCGATGCGATCCTTCAGGGTCTGATAGCTGATGTTGGTCGATACGACCAATGTCAGGGTCTGCCCTGCTGCGGGACAGATGACCCGCACTTTCAGCTGAGCTGGAGTTGGTTTCGAGCCCTCCTCATCAACTGGTGTGGGTGGCACGAACCCGGCAGGACCGGGACCTCCCATCGGAGGTCTGGTGCTTCCGGGAGCCATCGCTCTTGCGCTGGCGTGCTGCATCATGCCGGGCCGAGGTGGATAATTGTATTCTACTGGCGACGTCTGATCGGCATTGGATGACTGTCGCTCCCGTAGCATTTGAGGTGAACCTCGCTCTGGGATGCCCTCGGGGTATGCTGGTGAGTTGTTTTGGCTTCGGTTCGGATTCGAATACGGAGCAGGCATCTCGGGCAGAGGCGGGTGGCCTGCGCCCCTCGGTTGCATGCGTTGGCCGTTGTGGATATCGGGACTGCTAGCGGATCGATTTCTGGGACCGGGCATTTGCATCGAGCTGTGCATACCAGCCGGTCCTGGCCGGCCGGTCGATGGGACACGTGCCGCAGGTCCATAGCCATTTGGTGGCTGGCGACCCATTGCAGGCGCCGTGAAGCGCGTGGCGCCATGTCCCTCCTCGTAATACCCATTGGCAGGCATGTTTTGCCTCGGGAATGAATACATACCTGAGCTTGTGCTCGTGCGGGCAGACATTGAGGACATCGGGGAGTCTGTAGGCGAGAAGTAGCTGTCCATACCAGCCTGGCCGCCCGGGGACTGTGCTGCTTGTTGAAGTTCTCTTGTGCGTAAAGACAGCGGTCCTTGCATAGTCCCAGACGGCAGACGCGGCGGTGGTACTCGTGCCGTTGAGCCTGACAGATTGGAGACAGAACTCTCCCCGGTCGTGCTTCTTGACCGCAGGGAACTTGAGCTCCCGTTCCGACTTTGAGAGAGACCACTTGGATAACCTCCCGACCCTGACCAATGCCCACTACCCACGGCGGTCTCGGCATCGTCTTCGTCGTCGTCCTCATCGATGGCCTCCTTGTACGGATTTTCGAGCGCTTGATTCTGCATGAAGGTAAATTCGGTGGCGCTTGTGCCGCCGCGAGTACTACTATCGCTGTTGCGGGTAGTCGATGCTCGCTCTCGGTACCGTCGGCGCTGGACCTCGATCTGTTGTGCCCACTTTCGCAAGGTTTCCTCGGTGGTGAACCTTATAATGAAATTTTCGATGCTGGGGTCACCTTTCCAGAAAATCTGACATGTGTATGAGCCTGCAATTCAGAGCAAATTAGCCAATTCTTGAACATACCCGGTCATCACTCTTCACCATCAGGGCCGTGGACGACTGCATACCTGGTTTGGCCAGAGACACGAGATCTGTCACATTTTGCATAAAGATTCGGCCCTTGAGCTGGAGCTTTGGCTTGCCCTTGTTGTCAACCATTGGCTTATTCGAAAGTTTGTTCTTGGGTTTGCTAGGATCAATGTTCTTGCAGCACAGCAGAATAGTTTCGAATAGGTAGACGTGATACTGGTAGGCGTTAGCTCGAACACAATACCATGCAGTGGTGCTTCTGTTCTTCGGATCTGCTCATGCAGTCCAGCGAACAATGTGCAAAGACGACTCACCTGTCGTTCGCCATCCTTGCCATTAGCAAGGTTCTCACTTTTCAAGACGGTAAAAGTTCCATAGAGCAACAGTTCACCAAAACCTTCGACGCGGTGCCCCTTCCAATCCTCGACTCTGTGCTTGAGCTCCTGGACGGCCTCCCGCTTTTCTTCCTGGTCGACTGCTCGATTTGTGCTGTTGAGAACCGAGGTCGCTGCTTGCATGCCGTTCATGAGGTCCTGCTTTCGCTCTTCATCTAAATCGCCCTTCTTGTGCAGCTGTTCCAAAAGAAGTGGGTATTTGGTCAATCTCTGGAAAGGCTTCATTAAGAATGAATGAAGTGCTGTTGGCGACTCAACCATTTGGCGCATTTCGATACTGCCGCCGGCTTCTCTTAACTTGCCGAATTCAGCAATGACGGTTTTCTCACACTTGCGTTGATTCGCAATGTAAGGCTCGTAAACTTTAAAAGCCTCGCAGTAAAGCAAGAATAGCTTGCCCCAGTTCTGTTCCTCTTCTGGCAAATAGTTTGTCTGTTCGACGCGAATCAAGAAGCGTCGTTGAAAGTCCAACAGGGAGTTCAGGTTGAGGAAGATGTCGTGGACAGCGTCGCCGGGAATCACACCTTTTTCTTCCACCAAGTGCTTGAACGCTTGTAGCAATTCAAGATGCTGAACGTAGGTCCTTTCGGAACTGACCAATTCCGCAATGATGTGTTGCCGTTGCGTGCGTTTCATGCCTTTCTCAGCTTCTTCGAAGTCCGATGCCGTGGGCCGGACATCCTCAACGAGACCACGCTGGACCAGTACATCGAGTACTCGATTCACCACCCGGGCTACTTTGACGAATCCGGTTGTGTCGTCGCCGTACAAGTCGGTGATGATGAAGAGCTCTTCGCTATGCATTCCCAGATCATTCATGCAGGCCTGAATGAATTTGAAAGTGGCTGCCTTTGCCTTCTTCTCTTCCTTGACACCCTGCGGCATGGCCAGCGGCTGCTGCGGTCGTAGCTCGTTGTACAGCAGCATGAGGGGATAGCCTCGGCGGAATGTCCTCCATAGCAGCGTCACAGGGTCAGTGTCGTCGTCGGCCTCTTCCTCCTCCTCGGCCAGGGACTCACTGAAGCCAGGCACACCCAAGAGACGTCGGCGGAGCGCGACACATATTTGGAACAGCGAGCTGCTAGCATCGGCGACCGAGTTCATGATATTGTCCGTCCGCACGACATCTGAGCTGCCGTTCGGGGTCGACATGCTGGCGGTGGAGAGGTTGGAGGCATTGGTTGGCATAGGCGGGGGCGTGAAGAGGGTCGAGTGCGCGGTGTCCTGGGTCGCACCGCTGCTGCGGTTGGTGAGCTGCGACTGGATGCTGTAATTGGATCCGGTATGCGCCTGCGACTGCAGCAGTTGGCTTTGCGCAGCGTCGGCGCTCATGTTGGGGTGGTGTTGCTGTTTCGCGTGGTCGGGGGCGGCTCCTGGGGTCGAGAACGGGGCAGTAAGGGCTCGGAAGTGGGCATGCGACGCGATTTCCATGTCGCTGTCGCTCTACGCGGCGGACAGCATAGCAGCGGAGCCGGCTGCGGGCGACGGAGAGGTGGTGCTGCACAGGCGGGTGGCGAGTGCGTGCGGTGCAAGTGGGAGCAGCAGCAGTGGCAGCCAGCAGCACGTACTGGTAGCAGGTAGCGATAGCGGGCGGGACCAGGGGAGAGATGAATCAATGAATTAGGGGCAGCAACACACAGGCTGCTGCTAGTGCCAGAGCGCCAAGGTTGCTGTCTACCTGCCCAACCGGCCTGCCTCTAGGAGATCCTGGTGCGGATGCGCGCCGCGAAGCTGGTGCTGGTGCTGTGCCGTGCGCGAGACTTTCGACCGGGTCGCAGGAGGGGGCAAGCGTTCGCAGGCAAGGCAATGCAAGGCAAGGCGTGATGTTGGGCGAGCGAGGGGAGCGCAGACAAGAAGTGGCGTGGAGGACGACGACGAGAACAAAGCTGCCACTGCGTCTGCTTCTGCTTGTTCCAGGCGCAGCAGAGCGGCCAATCACGCGCGCGGCGGCCTGTGTTTCACCACGAGCGCAGGGCGGTTTCAGCAGCACCGCACCGCACACTTCACCCGCGCCTCTCCTGCGCTTGTCGTCGAGTGCTGCTCGCGTGCCGGCCTGCCCATGACACTGTTGCTGCGCGAGAGTGCTGCCGACCGAACTCGAACTCGTCGCACTGCGCCCGTGCCGTCCGCCGCCCGTGCGCGCGACACCCGACCCGA